CTGTTTGATTGAAATTATTTTTAAATAATTGTAAATGAAAAACAATTTAGAAATAAAAAAATCATATTTAAAAACTTGATCAAAAGATCTACAAAATTAGTCGTGACATAACTATATTAATTTATCAAATAACTAATGAAAATAGAGAAAGAAATTAAATGAAGTACATGTGCATTTCACGTGATGTACATGACTATAATTAGTAATGTAAATGTATTTAAACTCCTATTTTCCAGAATAAAAACATGAAACTTCTAATTTAGCTATTATCAATGTATTACTCATACTTTATCAATATATATATATATATATATATATATATATATATATATATATATATATATATATATATATATATATATATATATATATATATTCTCTAATGAGGTATCATTATTTAATTAGTCCGTTTTTATTATACTTTTTTATTAATTAAAACCATTTTCATTAGTACTTCATTCAATAATGGCCATTAGTTTTATATAAAATTTTTGTTTTTAAATAAACATACCAATATATATATTCCACCAATTTAAAACATATTCTGTTCACATAATTAAAATATATGTATAAAATATTTTTTTAACTTTATAGATGGTTTAAAAAAATAAAGTTTTATATGATTTTTAAAAATAATAAATTATTTCTCATTTACTACTTTTAAAGAAAATACTTATAGAATCTTTAGTGCATGTACATCTATATTTAAATTATATTATTTGAAAAAAGATATATCTTAGAGTTAAAAAAATATTCATCTAACACATATTATGTCATTATTAAAAAACTAAAATAAATAAAATTATATTTATAGAATGTCAAAAATTTAGATTGTATACGAGCTCGTGCAAAGCACGGGGTTAACACTAGTAAGTTGGTATAAAAAAGAATATATTCTTAAAATGGTCGTTTATAATAATGTGTATTAATTTCCTAAATTAGTCCTTAATAAACAAAAATTACCTTTGTAATCCTTTTTAATTTAGATTTATTCGTAAATGGTATTCTGTAAGAAGTCTCTATTAAATGACAGTTAAATAGATAATGTTTTTATATTTTCTATTATTTAAACTATAAATAAGTTTTCAAGAGAGATAATATTTTTATATTTTCTATTATTTAACTCACCCTGAGTAGACTCATGGACTCTATTTCAAGAGAAAAATTAATTAGAATGTTTCAGTTAAAAAAAATACTCAATTATAAAGAAGTACGGAGTATTTCAAGAACATATTTTAAGTCTAGATGATAAAAAATATCAAAATATCTTTTATTTGACTGACATTTAATAGACATTTTGGTAGATGATCATTTAAGAAGTAAATCTAAATTATAAAAGGAAATATTTGCACTAAATAGCACTTAAATTTAAGTGATTTCTCTAAATAGCACTTAAACTATTTTATTCCATAAATAGCACTTAATAATGTCCATAATGTGCAGACGGTGCAGTGACGGCGAGTATTTACTTGAATAATGACTAAAAGTTCTATATTGGGAAGAAAAACACATGTGGTGCTATTTAGGGAAAGTTATCATGTTTTAGTGTTATTTAAGTAATTATTGTTTATTGAAGACTAATTTAGAAAAACACCTCATTATTAAAATTACATCAAAAAATCCACAAAACAAAATGTAAAAAGAATATTTTATTTTATCAAATAATCAATGAAAATACAGAGTAAATAAAAGTTATCATGAAGCTCAAAGAGTGAAAGTATAAATCATTTCGGAACAGAGAATGTATATCGCAAAACTTTAATCACATGATTTCACTCCTCTTAATATCCATATCTAGCCAATTCTAAAACAATATTACGGGACATAAGAAGTACAGAGTATGAAGAAGTAAAAACATTAAACATAAAATGAATAAAAAAAGTTAAAAGACATTCCAACATTTTAAGAAGATTCTATGAAACTTGCATTTTGTTTATTACTCTATAAGTCTATAGTCATTTTTTTTGCATATTTCCACGTACTAATTTAATAAAATAACGTCACCTACTAATTTAAAAAAAATTAAAAATTGATTTGATTTTTTAATATGTGTATTTTATTTTTGAATTTGATGCTAATATGTAAATGAAATGAAATTAAAAATAATTTCAAGCATGAATGGTAATGTCTAATTTCTTTTTAAGATGGGGAAGTAATATAGTGTTTTTTTAGATCTTTACAAAAAGCAAAAACATTTTAAAGAAACGTACGGTGTACGTTCATAGGGCATTAATTACTTTCAATCAAGTACTTGTATTTTTTTCCCCACCCATGCTCTTATTTTTTCGCATTATGTCGATGTAATTTTTATTTAAATTTTATTAAAATATTTACTTAATGTTTTTGTTTTGAATTATTTTTATTTAAATATATTTTAATAAACTTAAGAAAAAATGGGAGTGATGGGCTTGGTGGGCGTGATCCACACTCCTGTGGTGTGATAGCTGTAATAAAAAGAAAGAAAAGCTTACTTCACACTGAGTAAGATTGACTTGGTGCGTGTGGTGGCGTCATCCAAAGCAAATGGTCTTAGATACTCCTTCCGTCCCTAAATAGATTATAAATTTTTTTCTCTCTCATCTCGATAACTTTTGTTTGTTTACGCGATTTCATTAAATATTTGATAAAATAAAATATTCTTGTCACCTCTTGTTTTGTAGAACTTTTGACGTAGTTTTTTAATATGTAATTTTTATATCTTATTGATATACCAATTTGTAAATAAAATGATTTCAAAAAGTGGGAAATTTTTCTCCATAATCCGTAATTTGTAATCAAATTGGGGACGGAGGGAGTATGCCTTAGGCCATCCGCATTGGATGGACATGTAAGGCGGAGGAGAAGCTTTAGTCCGGAGGAGTTATCGCATTGGAAGGACAAGTGGGAGGAGAAGCTCTAGTCCGGCTCATTTTTCAAGACCAAAATGGAGGCCTTCTTCTCCGCGGAGAAGATGAAATAAAGCAAACCATTGTCCACTTCTTTTATGCCATGTGGCATATCTTCTTTTTTTTTTGTAATATTAGGTTTACAATTTCAAATAGGTTTACAAGCATTTATCAAATGTGTTGGTTTATTATTTTGTGGCGGCAAGTGTGTTGGTTAGGATTTTTTTATTTATAAAGATAGGTTGAATTTATTTGTAAAATAATTTTATCCATCCCAAATAAATTTGCAATTATATGCATTCCAAACAAATTTCAACCACACACTTTTTTTTAGATATAAAAAGTATAAGTTTAATTTGATTTATCAAACAAACATAAAAAAAGGTTGAAATATAACTGGTCTCAAAAAATGAAAACTAAGATTATGTAAAAAAACATTCAAAATCTTTTGTCAATTTTTAAAAATATTTGTATTAAATAAATATTTAATAATACAAAATTTTAAAAATATTTTTATTATATAAATATTTAATAATACAAAAACATTCAAAAATTTTTGTCAATTTTTAAAAACATTCCAAAAATGAGTTATATTTTGAATAATATTTTAGTAGTCCTTTTGATAATAAAAGATAAGGAGGAGTAAAGGAGAAGTCGTGTACTGGGTCCCAAAAAAGATGATTGGGAGGAGAGAAGAGGAGTAGTCCTCCACTTTAGTAGTTCTTCCAATGTGGGTGCTCTTACGGGCTAAGTCAATAAAGCATTGAGAGGCCTAGAGAAGAGGACAAAGGATGAAAAGAAAGATTCTTCAAAGTAAATTTTTTTGTGTGATTATTATTCTGTAATATTACTCTCTTTGTTTTAAATTCAATTATACTCTTCGAGCAACATGCAAAGTCTTATGTTTTTAAAAAGAAGTGATCTTACATTAGTTGGTACTCCCTCCGTTTCTTAAAACCCTTCCTCTTTCATTTTTTTTGTTTTTCTTAAAACACTTCCCTTTTCTATTAAAAAACCACTTTTACCCATACGTTTTCATACCCTACCTATCACATCATACTTTTTCACTAACAACTAAACTATCACATCTTACTTTTACCCATCACATCAAGGGCAAAATTGGAAAGTCAACTACAATTTAACACTTTCTTATTTTTCCCCATAGTCAAAAGAGGAACTCTTTTGAGAAACGGAGGTAGTATTAAAAAGAATATATTCTCAAAATGGTCCTTTGTAATAAATTATTTTTTCTAAATTAGTCCTCAATAGCACAAATTTCCTGTGTGATCATTTTTAATTTAGTTGTATTCCCTAAATGGTCTTCCGAAAGAAATATCTATCAAATGAGAATTAAATGGATGATATTTTTAAATTTATTATTCGCATAGTGATTTTTTTTTTGCATATTTCCACTAATTTAATAAAATAATCTCACTTACTATTTAAAAAATTGATATCATTTTTAATATGTGTATCTTAGTTTTGAATTTGATACTTATATGAAAATGAAATGAAATTAAAAATAATTTCAAACATGAATGGTGATGTCTAATTTCTTTTTAAGATGGGGGAAGTAATATACGGAGTAGTGTTTTTTTTAGATCTTTACAAAAAGCAAAAACATTTTAAAGCAACGTACGGTGTACGTTCATAGGGCATTAATTACTACGTACTTTCTAGCTTGACGTATGCAATTAAATTAGGGTAATTACAGTGCAAATGCAATTAAAATTTCACATTAAAATTAAACCAAATTATTCTTGACGTAGGCTTTGTTTGGTAACGGCGTTTTCGATTCGCGTTAGCGTTTTGGATAAAATTTTAATGGTGCAGATTAATTCTGAAAACGCTAACGCTAAAGGCTACCGTCGGATAGCTTTTTCAAAACGCTAAAGCTAATCTCTAACGCTGATCCCAAACGGGGCCGTATGCAATTAAAAAGAATAAGAATAGACTTAGGTTATATTTAACTGGGGTATCTCATTTGTACATTCGTCTTTTTATATATATATATATATATATATATATATATATCATTTTAAAAGAGGCACTTCAATTCAGTCTTTCTTTCAATCCCCAAGTCACTATATATACATTAAATTAAGTTGCTAATATACAAATAAAAACATACTACTGGTATAATGTATCATTATATGAGTCTACACGCACTATACATTTGCATCATCGAAATTATGATTATCATTAGTGTGAAGGTACTGTATGCAAAAGATTTATTTACATCTGGTGTGAAAATACTGGAGAAAAAAGATGATAAGTATGGTGGAGTTGTGATAGAGATGAAGGAGATGATGAATCCTTCCTCCTTTGCTGCTTCACTTAAAGCTTCACTCTTCAATTGGAGACTACAAGTATGTATCTTCATATATATCATTTGTTCTGTCACATAAAAAATTTTAAAGTAAATTTTTAAAATGGTACTCAATAGCTATGTGTTTTTTCAAATTAGTCTCTAATTAAGATGAACTAATTGCGGAGATGGTACTCGTTAATTGAAAATAATATCCAGTCTTGTCAAGGAACCAACTCAACCAAAAGCTCAAGCTTGTGGTTGTCGCCCAGGAAATGTTTTTTATATTCTAACACGCTCCCTCACGTGCAGGCGTAGTCTTTTTTTTAGCCTTGCACGTGAAACTTTAATTTTTTTAAAACTGGGTGGTATTGAGTATCGAACCTATGACCTCTTAGTCAACAATGCTCCGATACCATGTCAAAGAACCAACTCAACCAAAAGCTCAAGCTTGTGGTTGTTGCCCAGAAAATATTTTTTATATTCTAACAAGTCTCAAAACAACTTCACTCTTATTTATGGAGCTAGTATTATATTTCTTATTTTTGTATTGAATATATATAGTGCTCATAACATAAAGTTTCTCTCATCTGAACAAATTTTAATCACTTTTTAGGGGAAAAAAGGAGTTTGGTTGAAACTTCCGATAGAGCTTTCAGATCTCGTTGATGTTGCGAAAAAGGTACTAATCAGTTCCAACGGAGCACCGTGGGCTTTAATTTCAATGTCGTAATATAATATTGAAAGTTAATGTCAATCTGGAATAGTCAAACTGGAATAATCAATTCCAGTTTGATTATTCCTTAATTAAATACTTCTTCCATCTCTCCATTATAGGAAGGGTTTTGGTATCATCATGCTGAAAAAACATACATAATGATGGTGTATTGGATTCCAAAAACTCCTTCCACTCTCCCATCAAATGCTTCACATAAAGTTGGCATTGGAGCTTTTGTAATCAATGAAAATGAAGAGGTAATTCATTTTTTATTTATCTTAAATACTCCCTCCGTCCCGGAAAACATGGAAGTTTTGGTTTTGGAGAGTGATTTAAGGAGAGTGTATTTTGGTATTGAATTTCCAAAAATGTTCTTTGATGTGATGAGTAAAAGTATGATTTGATGGATAGATTATTAGTAAAAAGGTATGATGTGATAGGTAGGGTATGAAAAAGTAAGGGGTAAAAGTGACTTTTTAATAAAAATAAGAAGTGTTTTTTGGGACGAATGAAAAGAGAAAAGAGAAAAGTTTTCTGGGACGGAGGGTGTATTATATACTACTCCCTCTCTTTCTTTTTTCATCCTTCTAAAAAAAATATTTCTCATTTCTATTAAAAAATCACTTTTGCCCATACTAATTTTTAATCTACGTATCACATCACTTCTATTTACTATTAATCTACCTATCAAATCTTATTTTTACCCATCACATCGAATCTATGGACATTTTCGGAAACTTAAAACCAAAATACACTTTTTTTAAATGCATTAAAAATAAAAATCTCTGTGTTTTCAGGAGTAGGGAGTAAAATTTTGGACTGTGTATTTGCAGATACTTGTGGTGCAAGAAAAAAATGGCTACTTTGCCGGAACCGGATTTTGGAAAATGCCCACTGGCTTAGTGGAAGAGGTTTCTATATATTCTGCCATTCTCTATTAAATTAATTCCACACATCGTCCTATTAAACTCTTTCTCGTTTCTTCTTGTCTTTATCCCACAATAATGTTTTTTATTTTTTTATTAAAAAATTACTTTTACCTCTACTAATTTTTACGCTATCTATCACATCATATCTTTTTACTAAGAATCTACTGATCATCACGTCCAACTTTTAGTTACCACACAAGGATATTTTTGGAAAGTTTAACAAAAAATATCTTTCCCTTAACCTTTCTAAATACTCCCTCCGTTCCTTTAAACCCTTCCTATTTTGACTTTGGGCCAAAATAAAGAAAGTGTATTTTTGGTTAACTTTCCAATTTTGCCTCTGATGTGATGGGTAAAAGTAAGATGTAATAGTTTGGTTATTAGTAAAAAAGTATAATGTGATATATAGGGTATGAAAAAGTAGGGGTAAAAGTGGTTTTTTAATAGAAAGTGGAAGTATTTTAGGGAATTGAAAAAAAAACGAAAGGAGAAGGGTTTTGTGGAACGGAGGGAGTATATGGTTTGATCCCTAATTATATATATACTCAATGTTTTTTTTTATGTTTATTCTGATCTGTTAGGGTGAAGATGTATGTGATGCTGCAGTTAGAGAAGTTAAAGAAGAGACCGGAGTAAGACAATTTATAAATACTCCGTATTATTTAATTTTTCCTCCAAAAGAAGCTAGATCTAGAAAACAAAAAATCCATCTGTACTGTACTAAAAAAGCTTTACTCGTTTTTTGTTAAAGCTTTACTCATATTTTCTCTTAAATGCCCCAAAAATCAAAATTTCGATTACTTTTATTTGCTTTTTAAATAGTGAACATATGTCCTATGAGTAATCAGATCTCTCTTGTATACACATTTTTGTTAAATATTTGTCTCTTTTTAATATTTTTCTTAACCTCGTGAACCGAATAAACATTTTTTAAGAAATATTTGCACAAACTAGCACTAAAATATAGGTCATTTCCTAATGTAGCACTTAAACTTTTTTATTCCCAAAATAGCATTTAATAACTAAAAGTACTACATTGAGAAATAATACTCCCTCCGTCCCATGAAACATGAGATGTTTTGCTTTTTGAAGAGATTTAAGGGAGTATATTTTGGTATTGAATTTCCAAAAATGTCCTTTGATGTGATGGGTAAAAGTAGGATTTGATGGGTAGATTATTAGTAAAAAGGTATGATGTGATAGTTAGGGTATGAAAAAAGTAAGGGGTAAAAGTGACTTTTTAATAGAAATGAGAAGTGTTTTATGGGACGGATGAAAAAAGAAAGGAGAAAGGTTTTATGGGACGGAGGGAGTAACATATAATGTTATGTAAGGAATGTTATTATGTTTTAGTGCTATTTAGGTAAATTCTTCTATTTTTAAACGAGAAGAGTATTTACGTCTCCCTCTGTCCACTTCAATTTGACTTTTCACAGTTGAAATGGAAGCAATACTTTAATCATCAATGTTTTTATTTATAGATAGATATATATTATAAATATATACAAATTGCAAACTATATTTCAAAATTAATTTATTAATATTAAATTTATATCATAATTCAATTTAGGTTATTTGTTGTCAAAGTTTAAAAAAGTTGGCCATAAAAGTCAAACAGAGAATAATCAAATTGGGCAGATGGATTGAATCACATGGTTTCTTTTGAACCCGAATTACATAGTTAAAGTGGCTATGTAGTTCACTCATTTCGTCGCACAATTATCGTCATTTTAAAGCAACATGCAAGTTATAATTCAATCTCTTTAAGTTAATTTTCTTTATATATTTTTTGAAATTAAAGGGTTTTTCTTTATATATTCGTATACAATAAAAATACAATTACACATATAAAAACGACATAAAAAAATTCTATAAAACAAATGGTTGGATGTCTATTATATTTTAACCAATGATTAATGAAAACGCAAACGCAAACAAATGTTATCGAATGTCTGAAACAACAAACATGACGATAATTTTGAGACCAATGATGCAATTGAATTTGATTGCTTCAACAAATTAAAATAGCTTCAACCCACAAGCCTAATTTGGTTTAATATATACTTCCATGTTCAAAATTTTCTTTTGAAGATTGACGCGGAGTTCGTCGAGTTCCTTGCTTTCAGGTATGCCTTACTTGATTTCTATATTTTTCTCTTCTAATTTATTTTGCATATTTGATGTTTTGTGGATCTTGTTAGAATATAAAAAATAAGGAATTTACCCAAATAGTACTATAATATAATAATTTTCTCAATCTAGTACCATATATTTTTATTTCTCAATGTAGTACCGTCACTGGCCGTCTGGACATTGTTCAAGCTAAATGTCCACCATCGCTAGATATTGTTTTTGCGACTAAATTTTATTCAAGTATTATTTAAGAAATAAAAAAATTTGAGTACTACATTGAGAAATGACATACGTTTTAGTATATTTAGTGCAAATTTCACATAATTTTTTTCTACATTACTAGGAAATTGTTTTTAATTGGTTATTGACTTGCATTATGCAGACAATACCACAAAGCTTTATTTAGCAAATCAGACCTGTTTTTTGTTTGCAAGTTAAAGCCACTCTCCACTACTATCACGAAGCAAGATTCTGAGATCGAGACAGCCAAGGTAAATATGTATACTCCATCTTGATTTTCCATAATAAAATTTACCATTCATTTTTGGGGAGATTAACTAAAATCTCTCTTATCTTCCACGTCATATTTATCCAGAACTATTAGTCCATCTTATCATCCCTTTCAGTGAAAAAATTAATGGCAAAATTATTAGGAAATGTCACTAAAATTACAAATTTCTTAAACTCACATTTTTTAAAAGTAGAAAAAATTTTATGGGACGGAGGTAATATTCAATTTGAATTCGTACGGAATAGAGAAAAGGGCGTAGCTCATGTAGTTAAGATCGATGTGAGTGCCAAAGTGGGTAAACCCAGATTCGATTCCTGATAACAACGATAAAGAATGATCATATTCTGTATGAAATTCTTACACGTATTAGGAACCCACAAGTCTCATTCTCTATCAACCAACATAATACTTAGTATAGTTTCATACTCCCTCCGTCCCAGAAAACCTTTCTCCTTTCTTTTTTCATCCGTCCCAAAAAACACTTCTCATTTCTAATAAAAAGTCACTTTTACCCCTTACTTTTTCATACCCTACCTCTCACATCATACCTTTTTACTAATAATCTATCCATCAAATCATACTTTTACCCATCACATCAAAGGACATTTTTGGAAATTCAATACCAAAATATACTCCCCTTAAATCCCTCTTCAAAATCAAAACTCCCATGTTTTCTGGGACGGAGGTAGTATTACCTATCACAGCTTATTACTGTCCAGGCCCGTATTGGAAAGATCTTGGAGTTCGGGATTCAAACCTTCTTTGTTTTCCTGATTTTTTTTCTAAGAAACTTGATTGACTATAGTATGTGTTTGTGTGTGGGTGTTATTCACACAAACACACACTGCGAGAATACACCTTATCATGAGAATGATGCATTTTTGTGCCTTCACGATGCCTTTTTACATTTTGGTAATGCATTTTCGGCACTGGGAGTGAAGTTCAACTTATTTATCATAGTGCCACCACGTTTTTCAGATTTTTCAGTTTTTTTTTTTCATTCTAATTTTTCAAGCTCTTAGATCTAATGTGTAGAGATACATTCATATTTCTTTCCTTAGATCTTATATATAGAAGTATATATGTTATTGCAGTGGATGAAAATGGAGGAATATTGTGAGCAATCGTATGTGAAGGAGCACGAGGGCTTTCTTAGCGTTGCAGAGATCTGCAAAATGGCGAGTAGCAAGAAAAGTGCATATTCTGGTTTCTCTGCAAATTTGAAGTCACAAAGGACTCCTGGAAAGAAAAGCTACGTATACTCCAGCGCCAACAACATATGACATATTAAATTTATTTATCAAGAAATACAATCAACTTAATTGCGTTAATTAATAAATCTGTGAATTTATGTTCATTTTGAACACTATATAATTTGTACTCTCAATAATGATTGATGGATTTTAATTCATTAATCACTGGAATGCTAATAACTCAACTATCTTATACATCGTTTCTTACTTTTTATAAAGAATAGAATTAGAAAATAGTGTCAAAATTATATTTTCTCCGTTCTCAAAAACACTTTCTCTTTCATTTTTTTCACTTCCAACAAAACACTTCCATTTTCTATTAAAAAACCACTTTTACCCTTACTTTTTCATACCCTACCTATCACATCATACTTTTTCTCTAATAATCTATCCATTACATCTTACTTTTACCCATCACATCAGGGGCAAAATTGGAAATCAACTATAGTTTAACATTTCCTTATTTTTGCCCCAAATCCAAATGTGAAGTGTTTTTCCAAACGAAAGGAGTATATTTTTAGGGTGCATTCTTTTCCGTCTTTGAAATGGAGCTGGTAGAAGCAGTTTCATGAAAATATCTGCCAACTATTCTATAGAAGGTACATGATGAGTAGCCATGGTGCTACTCATGACTTCCCCCCGCACATAATGACAATCAGAAGCAATATGTCTCGTATGATCGTGTGGAACTAAATTCTTTGGCGACACACATAACATTCATTGTTGCGCTAAAATTGAGATTTTGAGAGTTCGGAGGACCTAGAGCATCGATGAATATAAATAGTGTAACCACATAATTTTTTCCACCCTGCGATCGTGGAGCGATACTCAACCCTTTTGAAAGACCAAGAAACACGAGTGTATATTTTAAATGTAATTTGGTCTAAATTTTAACGTCAAATTGAACTACGTACGATAATGTAAAGATAAAAGATAGTGTCCTAAATGATTGCTACAGTTTGATTTTTTTAGTTAAATTGTGACACCATCTTTTAGCCACGAATTAAATATAGTTTAAAATAAATAATGATTATAAAAATTTGAAATTTTAAAACTACTTCGTATATTTTAAAATAAATTCAATTTTACTAAATTTACATTATAACTAAATATACATTTTTCCACAATTCACGGTCAAAAGGTGTCACAATTTGACTAAAAATATCAAACTTGAGGGAATATTTTTAGTAAAGATAAATCCAATAATGTAAAGGTAAAAGATATTTTTAGTGGCAAATTCGCGTGTTAACAAACCATTGTGAGAGTCACAAGTTAGAACAATACGTTTGAACATTAAAACCCCATCATATCATATCATATCGTTCCCACTCAAATTTCCACTACACGTTTTCCATTTAAAATAAAAATAACGAAAAGTCAATGAGTGGAAATTAAATGGAGCATATTCTATCTTGTCACCACTTGCACTTACCCAAGGGATTAAGAGAAAACAACAATCAAAACATCTCAATTAATTAAACTTCGCCCCTAAGTTTATAACAGAAAAACAAATTCTGTCAATAGTTGTCATCCTTTTCAAATTGTTTTACTACATTGTCGAAACTACATTCAAAATCATATTTTCTTCTGATCATTTTATTTAAAAATTGGTTATGATAGAATTTAGGATTGGGTAGATATAACTAGATTAGGTAATAAGACACTTGAGTTGAACTACATTACAAGATTGAATCCAATCGATTACTTAATTCAACTTAAGAGCTTATATACCAATTTATTTTCACTACAAGTTCCAGTGTGGGATAGACTCCAACACTCCCCCTCAAGTGAATAACCGGGTTATTTTAAATCTAACCGGTTGATTATTTGCAAATGAACTCCCATTCCCTTGACTTTTTTTGAGCGCCAACACCTAAAGGACCACAAACCGCTGGGTATAGACTTCCAGACGAACAATCGTGTTAAACGGGCCACAGATCGTTGGGTACATACTCCATACGGACAACTGGGCTAAAGACTAACGGGCCGCTAGGAATGAACGTCTAGACGTCCCAATTTAAATCGCCTGTTTGATGAAATAAATTTTTTCAAGTAATCGTCTAGACGTCCCAATTTAGACGCTAGGAATGAACGCTAGGAATTTCGTACATTGTCGGACGGAGTTCAATATTTCCTTTTTTGGGTGTCCTAAAAAAATCTATTTCTAATTTGGCAAATATTTTGATGTGGTTGATATTTTATTTCCTCAACACCATTTTTAACCACTAAATTTTACTTTTCTTAACCACTAAATTTTATTTCCTCAAACATTAAACATTTTTACAAGCAAACAAAAATTATCAAAAAACTGTAATAATAATTATTCAAAATATTTTGGGTATGAGAGGAATAACATTTTAGATATGCTGGCATTGAAATTTGTAGTGGACAATTGTTTGGAGATGAAAATTATTGAATGAATGAAATGAAATTGTAAATGGAACTTAACAACTATGGGTTGTTGTTGTCGTCTCTCTACCAAAGATATTTTATGACATTGAGATCTAATTAAAATCTGTGGTTTTTTTCTATAAATGGAAATGAAGACAATAAATTGGAAATGAACATAAAATATGATCAACAAATTAGGGCAAGTATGAAATTTTACTACGCGCCTCGCAGTATATATAAAATTTAGGGGGTGAAAAATAATTAATAATCATACCACCTGATGACCTATCTCTGGTGGTATGACCCGGATCCGTACATCTGATGACCCGGATTGTACACCACCGGACCTCCATACATTCCGGCCGAATTCGAAGTCCCGGCCCCGCCGGAACCGCCGTCCTTATTCTCCCCAGGGCGGGCGACCATGGAGATCTTCTCGCCCTCGAGCTCCCTGTACTTGGCGAGGTAGATCTTGAGGGGCTCGACGTACTCCTCGAATCCGAGAGTGGTCATCGCCCAGAGGAGATCGTCGCCGTTGATCGTCTTCCGCTTCTCCCTCTGGCACTTGTCGGAGGCCTCGCCGGTGATGAAGCTTATGAACTCCGACACGCACTCCTGCACCGTCTCCTTGGCGTCTTTGGAGATCTTCGCGTTCATCGGAAGCGCCTTCTTCATGATCCGGCTCACGTTCGCTATCGGCAGGAACCTGTCCTGCTCCCTCGCCGATTCTCTGCTCGCGCCGCCGCCGCCGTTGTATCCGCCTGAATCGTTGTCCGAATCCGCCATCCGAAAATTACGGGTAGGAGAAATAATGCGGAGTGGGGAGGTCCGTCGGATGAAGGGAGTAATATTTGCATCGGAACATACGCGTGGGTGAATGTAAGCCGTTCATTTATAATTGATGATAAGATGGAGATGGAGGGTGGGGCCCGGAGCTTGGGAGGTTTGTAAGGGCACTCATACCGTGGCTTCAAACTTTTTCTCTGTCACCTAAACTTTAGCTTATCTCAAGATTCACTGAAGTAGGTTGAAGTCTCGAGACTTTAAACATTAGGATGCAAACCTTAATTTTTTTATATTTTAAATAAACATATTCTAAAATTTAATTATTTAACTATTTAATTAAATTGAAACAAAAATAATTTATAAAAAAATTACATTCATTAAATTAGAAAAATTAAAACGATAATAATTCATAAAAATTATATTCAATAAAAAAAGAACATTTAATAAAAAATACATTAATAAAAAAACTAAGGCAAATTAGTGGTGGATGAATGAGCTTTTGAAGTACTTGATAACCAGTCAACTTCTCGAACAAGAAGATAGGGCGCGTAAGGTGAAGCTAAGGGCTCCCCGATTCTAAGTCATCGACGGCATGCTGTATAAAAGGGCATTCAGCGGACCACCTGAGATGCCTCACAAACCGGGAGGCTCGAAAGGTCGTTGCAAAAGTTCACGAGGGAGTAAGCGCGGCCCACCAGATGTCCCACACTCTCTCCCAGCGCATAATCATGTTGGGATATTACTGGCCGACGATCGGCCAGGACATTGAAAGATATGTTTAGAAATGCCAAATATGCCAAGTCTTCTACAAGCACCTGGGTAGACCGGCCACCTATTACCATCTAGTCTCGAATGTCATTTTTTTTTTTTGCACGGTTCAGGGTAGACATAATAGGGTAGACATAATAGAGGCTTTCTCTATAGCTCAAGAAAGGAAGAAATTCGTAATTGTGGTGATCAATTACTTCACAAAGTGGGTAGAAACAGAAGCCCTAACGAACATCATAACCCAGCAATGCAAAGAGTTCATGTGGAAGAATATCATCACCCGGTTCAGAGCACCAAAAAATTTGATCACTGACAATGGTCCGCAGTTAAGAAATCCAAAATTCACCGAGTACCTAAAGAGTTTTGAGATCAAACACAACCGGTCTTCGGTGGCTTATCCTCAAGGAAATGGCCAGGTGGAAAATGCCAACAGGACCATAGTGGACGGCCTGAAAAAGAGATTGGGAGAAGCTAGGAATAAATGGCTAGAGGAACTTCCACACATCGTATGGCCATACAGAGTGACATCTAGATGAGCAACTGGAGAAATGTCATTTTCTCTAACATACAGATGCGAGGCGAGGCTACCTATAGAGGTAGAATTCCCGACCTTCCAGAAGTCAACTACCAACCAGAGCAGAATGAAGAAAACCACCTAGCGGAGCTCAACCTGATCGAAGATTGAAGGATGGCTGCATAAGTCAATGTGAGCGGATATCAACAACGGTAAAGAAGTACCATGACAAAAAGTTAGACCGCGACACTTCCAGGTCAGAGATGAAGTCCCATGGAGAAGAGAGGCCAGCCGACCGGGTGGCGGGGGAAAATTGGCCAAGAACTGGGAAGGACCATACCGAGTAAGTGTAGTAGTACGACCAACCACATACAACTTGGAAAGATTAGAAGGTTGAGCGATCGAAAGATGATGCTGGAACTCACACCATCTGATAAAGTTCTACAAATAATTGTAATACTAGGAAAGGCCTATTCTGTTGCTAATAAAGCAAATTTTCATCTAATGACAAAGGCAGATCCACCTTGAATTCTATGGGGTCCCGAGACCCCACAGACCCCGGATAAGGGGTACTCCTAAAATTAGACTGGACTTGGAAGAAGGTTCGAAATCGTACTTGCACAGTCTCACGAAATTTAGCCGGGAAGGGAGAGTATGCTGGACCGATTAGATTTAAGTGGGGAATGAAAAAGATGCCCAAGAAAAATTGAAAAGGAGTTATTCATCGCAGTGATTCCTAAATCGACCGAGTATCCCCCTTCTAAGGGAAGACTTGAACGAGAAATGAGTCAAGGTCATTAATCCGGCAGAGTAAACTAAAAAGGTCATAAAAGACTTAATCACCCGAAAAACGAGACCCCGGAAGAAGGGTGTAGGGGAGCCTTAGAGCGGGCTGGAAACCATTTGACATGATCAAAAGTCTCAAATGTCAAACAAGCCGGGCCATAGACATTTAAAGAAACCACTAGGTTACAAGTGTTCCACTTACAACCTAACGAAAAAAGGTTTACTCGTTGGGCATAGTTATCGGTAATTCGTGTGAAGTTCATAAACTTCAAAGGCAAAAGGCAAGTATAACGACCGGCTCAAACTTCAAGGTTTTGTGAGGGGTTAACCGGGTTCAAGTGAAAAGGCAAAATGCTAGTCAAACATTCTTCGATTCCAAAGATTATACTAAAAGACCTATGGGTTGAAAGAGATGGATCGTGCGCGGAAGTACATTATGTAAAGATTTTGATTCAAATCCAAATTCAAAATGCTTAAGTTTCCCAAACATGAAATTTAAATCAAATCCGGATTTGAAATCCAAATCCATGTTTCCAAACATACCATTAAATTATTTCAAATCAAATCACATGTGGGAGCATAACCGGTTAATTTTACCTAAGTGTTAGCCACATAGAGGATGATACAGTCAAAGGTTACTAGAAGAGCGCAAACATTCATAACAAAAGTCATTACAATGCTTAAACCGGGCACACCCGGGGAGAATTACAAAGAGAAAGGAAAGGTTTAGTCCAGGGGGAAGGGGGGAGCCGGTTCTTCTTCCGGGATAGGAGGGAGCCCGTATGCTGCTGCGGAGAAGTCTGGATCCCGGGTTGCCAGGATGCGGTGAGTAGCCGCTCGGTCTCTTTTTTGGCCGCATTTGAAGCCGTATGACCCGACGGCAGTTATCATCTTCTTTCCTTGAGGCTCCCGGTACAAAAACTTGAAGAACTCAATGGTTGCCTCGGGAGAAGCGGTCAACGCACGGGCGGCTTCAACTTTGTTCTCTTCCAGCCATGCGAGTGCCCGAGCGGGCAGGTCCCGCTCCTTCTGCGCCAGAGCCTCCCTCAGCTTGGAGATTTCATCCTTCAGCCGCGAGTTCTCCTCCTTCAGGCGAGTGTTCTCCGCACCCACTGATCTGACCATCTTTGACAAGTTTGCCAGCTCTTGCGTCTGGTTCATCATCACAGTGGCCATCTCCTGGTTTTTCTTCTCCTTCTCTCGGGACTCTTCTTGAGCTTCCCTTAATTTATCCTTCAGCCGGGCAACCCTAGAGGGAGAGCCTGCGCGGAACCGGTCAAAAGCGTTCGGTCCTACTTTACCAAGCTGTAAAAATATCAAGAAAAAGTTAGAACTGTTTAAACATATGAAAATAGTACCGGGCGAAGGAATTTACTTACAGCTTTCAGCTTCAAGCCCAGCTGGATCCAGAGATCCTCCACGGAGAGAGAGGCCGACTGAGACTCCCCCCTCTGCCTTTTGACAGAGGGATGAGTGGTCGCCACCTTCTTGACCCTTTGCTGCCTAGCCGGCTGGGTCTTGGCCTTGTTAGGGGAAGGGTTCCTCTTAGCCTCCCGAGAGGGTTGTGCCCCCTCTTCATCCTCGATTTTCACGGTCTTTGATTGGTCCAGGATGTGCTTTGAGGAGGTAACCGGTTGTGAACTTCTTTGACCGGGTATACCAGCATCAGTTGGAATCTCATAAGCTTCAAATACCATGCCTGAAAAGCAGAAGAAAACTCGTTAAGTACAAAGAAACGTGTTGGGAATGATTTAAAAGGAAAATAAAAGGCGAGACAAACGCGAGCAATGACGGCACCCGGCCTCTGCAGTTTATACCCATTAAGTCCAATTCATTAATAAACTAGTATTCTGACTCGTGCCATGCACGGGTCGAAAGAAATTTATGTCGATTTTCAATTATTTCAAAGAAATTTATTTTTTAGAATAAAGAAAATATATTTCTCACATGATTTTTAATACTACAAATGAAAAAAGGCAAAGTAAAATAAATAATATTTGAGGAACAGAATGTAGAGTCAACAATTTTTATTTTAATACCAAATTTTCTGAAAGACTTCAGGGTATACAACATTCTTGGTATGGTTGCAAGGGTTTCCATTGTCATCTAGAACTAATATTTTTAATCCTGTCTTTGTCTTCACTCGTGAAACAGCAAAATATAGTTGACCATGTGTGAACACTGACTTGGTAAAAAATAATCCTACAAATGACAATGTTTGACCTTGACTGTTGTTGATAGTCATAGGGGGTGTTTGTTTTTTCTGCAGGAAAAGGTCTGCAGTCTGCGGACCACTACTGTAGACATCTGCAAGAGAAGTGGTGGACCGAAGGTCTGCGGTCTACAAGAAGAAGACTGTTTGTTTTTTAATGTCTGTAGACTGCTATATAAATTAATGGTGGTAGTATACGGTGGTGGTGTATGGACGATTGTGGTGGTGGTGGAGGGTGGTGGTGAAGGGTGGTGGTGGACGGTGGCGGTGGTGGTGGACGACGGTGGCGGTGATGGTGGACGGTGGTGATGGTGGTGGACGGTGGTGGTGGTGAAGAGAAGTAGAAGAAAAAAAATGGAGAAGATGTTAGAAGACATAGGTTAATGTCTTCTCCAAGAAGATGCCAGGAAGACCTTTTTGAGTGAAATGTCTTCCAAAAAACAAACAATCTGCAGAGCTCAGCATCTGCGCGCGTCTGCGCGGCGCAGACAAAAGAGGCCAGAAGCTCTTCTGTCCAAAAAACAAACACCTCCATAGCAAAACATGAGGCGATCGGGAATTGTCTTCTTTGGAACTTCAAGGGTAGCCCTGGATTAGATGGTACCTAATTCATTCTAGGGATGTAAACTTTTTTCCCAACTCGATTTCCCGAAACCACAATTGCACCGAGAGCATTATTTCGCAGCTTTTGAACGATTAATCTTGTCCCATTACACAATCCAGATGTTTGGTCAATGTTCCTCAATAGCATAATCGGTACCCTTTTTTTCAAGACTATTTTGTGGTTTGGGATGCCCGAACATTTAATTTCGTTCAAAACTCAACTATTATCCAATCCCCATCAATACCTACATCCTTCTGCTTGGCACAAAGAATCAGAACTTAAGTAACTCTTTTCATCACCAGAAATGAGGGACAGAACAAATTCATTTATCATTTCAACTACTTCGAGAATTGGTGCCAATAGTGCTCTATCCTAAAAAATAATAATTTTTCGTATTTTCAAACATAAGTCATTTCCCAATATAAGACTTAAACTTTTTCAAATTTTTCATTTTTCATTTTTCAAATTTTTCATTTTTCATTTTTCAAAATTTTCACTTTTCAAACTTTTTACCAATACTCCCTCTGTCCACCATAGATCTTTCAGGACACTATTTATATGGTCAAACTTCACTCACTTTGTTTGCTTATTTTTACTAGTCATTTCGTAAAATAATATAGTCTTGTCAGTTCTAGTTTTGTAGAACTTTTAATTTGTTTATTACTATAAAAATTTTATTTTATAATTTTATTACTATAATCAATTAAATTGAATTGAAAATAAAGTCGTTCAAGCCTCGTAACGCGCAATGGGAAGATCTTAATTGGACAGAGGGAGTATAATTTTTCAAATTTTTCATTTTTCATATAAGACTTAAACTTTTTATCCCTTAAATAACACTTAATAATGTCTAGAAGGAGAAATAATATTCTATGACGGTGAATATTTATCTAAATAATGACTAATGGATAATGACTAAAAGTGCTACATTGGGAAATAAAAAAACATATGTTGCTATTTAGAGAAACTCATTATGTTTTAGTGTTATTTAGGTAAATTCCTCTGACTATGAATATATATATATATATATATATATATATATATATATATATATATATATAGTATCAATTATTTCAGGTTAATACAGCTTAGTTGCCATTTTGATAAATGAATTACGTGTTAGATATAAGTAAATATTCCAATTTACAAATTATATTTGAACTTTGAATTATTTACATTGATCATTCCGTATCAATGCCTAAATTGTTTTTCCTCGCATGCATATCATTTTATTTTAAAATATGTACTCACATTTTTTTATATTCATCCATTTCATATCAAATTTATTGCAAAGTTTTGAATTTTTTTAAAATTTTTTTAAATATGAATATATTTTTACTCAACTTTTTAAGATTCATCCATTCAATTTTTTAAAATATTCAATATGTATAAACTATTTTTTTTCATAAAAAATATAAAAAAATGAAATTAAAGAGTCATTGTTAGACATCATTCTATTCCTATTGATATAAAATATAAAATTGATAAAAAAAATTAGTGAGCTATATGCATACCTAGATAAATCAACAATTATACATTTTAATTATCCATGATTTCTATGAAACCTATGAACGACGTTTGATTTTTTTACGGATGCAGATTATAATTGATAAAATAACATGACTATAATTAAAAAAACGTACACATATTTTTATCTTTTTTTGGAGTGTTCATTTTCACATGGACAATTTGTTAAATCTTTCTAAAATTGACATCTAATTTTAAATTTTGTATAAAAATTTATTTATTTAACATAAATTAATTTATCTATACTAACGATTTAGATATGAAGATGAGAAAATTTTTCAATGCTCATTAAAAAGCAATCATATAAATTTTTAATACAAAAATTCTGGTCACTAAAATATCCCGTTTGATTTTGTTATTTTAAAAATTCCAAAAATGTTATGTATCAAATTACCTTAAAACAATAAAACAAAATTAAATATATTAAGATAAAACAATATTTAAAGTACGTACCTTTTCTATCCTTTTTTGTTGAAGTATTCCTTTTCTCCTTTCTCTTGCATCTCTAGCTGATCTCGTCCATATATCGTCAACTTGATTTTCCATAGCCTCAATTGAAATTGAAAAATAGGATGCTCCTACCACTAATCCTTTAAAAAACAAAAGGCTGAAGTTGAATTAACGATTCTCCGCTTATTTATTGCATAATTAGTTCTGAATGCCTCTTTATTGAAATGGAAAATGAAAATGGGTGGTGGATCTCACATTTCAACTCATTATATATCTCTTTTTATAATAGGATTTTGACTCAAGTATATAAGAGTTTCCATAAATTTGGATATAAAATTGAGTAATTTAACTCATTGCCAGTTAGATATATAAGGAATTCAAAATAATATTGGGTCCATCCTAGATATAACGAATTCCTTACTAAAAATAAACGAATCCAGAATAATATTATTGATTATCCAAGATACATAATTAACGATTGCCATATATAAGTAAAGTGATCCAAAATAATATTAGTATTATCCAACATACATAATATAAGTAAGATGATGAATAAAATACTCGTGATCATAATTTTCAAATTTAGTACTATTTAGGATTGTTTCTTAATAATATTTTTCGTAAATTTTGTCAATTACCATATGTTAAGGAAATAATCTATTCTTAGAAATCATATCATAACATGCATGGCTATGCATGAATCATTTTCTAACGCACGGTCCTATTAGGATAGTTTCACATTTAATTATTTACTTATCTTTTGTATTATAGGAAGGACTTTATTATGGTGAGAATTCCTTTGTAAAGGATTAATATATGTAGCATGGTCCTAGAATTCTATTTAAATTAATTAAAAATATTTTTTTTATTTTTTATATAGTATTTATATTTCTTCATATTTATTTTTAATTTTTTATATTATCATCGTAATTGGAGTTTGTATTGTTATAATCTGAATACATATATTTACATAAAATATTATTGATTATCCAAGATACATAATTAAGGATTGTCATATATAAGTAAAGAGATTGAAAATAATATTAGTATTATCCAAGATACATAATATAAGTAAGGTGATGAATAATATACTCGTGTTCATAATTTACAAATTTAGTATTATTTAGGATTGTTTGTTAATAAGATTTTCCGTAAATTTTCTTAATGACCATATATAAGTAAGGTGATCAATAATATATATTCATGGAAGTAAGACAAATAAGTAAGGAATCAAAAATAGTATTGGAATTTCTATTAGTATAGGTACTCTATTGGTTTCAACCTATATATACACGAATTTCCATTAATAAATCTTTGTTACTTGTTAATTTAAGTATGAAATTTTAAAAATGGAAGTAAGATAAAGGATTAATATATGTAGCATGGTTCTAAAACTCTATTTAAGTTAAATGAAAATTATTATATTTCTTTTTTATTTTTTAAATAGTATTTATATTTTTCGTATTTATTATTAATTGTATATATTATCCTCGTAATAGGAGTTCGTATTGTTGTAATCTGAAAACATATATTAACATATAATATTATTGATTATCCAAGACACATAATAAGGATTTCCATATATAAGTAAACGGATCCAAAATAATATTAGTATTATCCAACATACATAATATAAATAAGGTAATGAGTAATATACTCGTGATCATCATTTTCAAATTTAGTATTATTTAGGATTGTTTTTTAATAATCTTTTTTGTAAAAAATAATATTCTAATTTCCATTAATATGGGTACTCTATTGATTTTAACTCTTATTATACACGAATTTCCACAATAAACTTTTGTAACTTAACCTTATTAATTTAAGTATGTAATTTTTAAATATGGAAGTAAGATAAATGATTAATATATGTAGCATGGTTATAAAATTCTATTTAAATTAAATGAAAAATATTATATTTATTTTTTAAATAATATTTATATTTTTTCATATTTATTTTTAATTATTTTATATTATCATCATAATAGGAGTTCGTATTATTGTAATCTGAAGGAAAATTTTTTTGTTGAAGGCCAGTGATTATCGCGTAAAAAATCTGCGGTCAATTGTTTTCAACGGGAGATCTGCTGGTGCATCGTATATAATTTATTTCTGCTGGTTTACTCGGATATTACGTAGCGTGCTGACATGTTTAAATTTTGCCACATAAATATGCCAAATGTCGTATTTCTGTGCATCCGAGTCTCCTTTATTATTTTAAAGGATAAAGGATTCATGAGCGAATTCACAAAACAGAAAGATGTTTTCTCAAATTAGTCCTCAATAAGCAATAATTACTTGCGTGATACTTTATAATTTAGATTTATTCTCTAAACAGTCCTCTATCAAAAATGTCTATTAAATGTCACTTAAATAGAAAGTATTTTGGAATTTTCTTATCATTTAAATTTAAAGTATGTTTTCGAAATGTTCCTTTGTAATTAAATATTTTTCCAAAACGATAATTTCTAAGTGAATTTTTAAAATAGAGTCCATGAGCTGACTCGAGGTGGGTCTATTCATCTAGCAGCCAACCACTTAATTTAAAAGAAACATTTTGATGATTTATTTATAATTTAGATGATGAAAAATATCAAAATATCCTCTATTTAGCTCTCATTTAATCAACATGTTTGATAGGAAACTATTTAGTGAATACATTTCAATTATAAAGAGCCATTTTGTCAATTACTCACTCCGTCCGGAAATATTCTTCCTATTTGACTTTTCTTGGTCAAAGTGTGTAAACTTTGACTTTGATATGTGGAAAAAATACATTGTATTACGATATAACTTGAGTAAATTCTATAATTGGTCCTTTATAACAGGGGGGTTTCCCTATTTAGTCCTCTATTATCAAATATTACCCAAGTTGTCTTTCTTTTATGGGTACCTTGCCACAAATAGTCCTTTTTTTGATCTTCTATCATGTTGGTGTTAATTTGAGAGCTAAAAGTGTAATTTCACAATGATAAAATATCTTTTTTGTCATATACAATTCCAAAGGCTGTTCCGTTTGCGTTGTTTGTGAATTACAGTCACTTTTTACGACAACTACAGTCTACAAATGTGATCTTTCGTCAGAATCCTAGCCCACAATCATAGTCATTATTTTTGTGTTATCCGCTTAACCAATATCAGAACACGTCACTAGACATAATGTTGACGTCAAATTATACTTTTAGCCTTTAAATTAACACCAACACGGCAGAAGATCAAAAAAAGGACCATTTGTGGAAAGATACCCTTAAAAAAAGACTACAGGGGGTAATATTTGATAATAGAGGACTAAATATGGAAACCCCCCTGTTATAAAGGACCAATTATGGAATTTACTCATATAACTTTAATATGAATATATTCATTTTGAAATATAGTTTTCAAATGTCAAATTTTTATAAAATATATCTATGTATAAATAAAGATATTAGTGGTCAAAGTGCAATCTTGGAGACCGTAAAAAGTCAAATGGGAAGAACATTTCTGGACGGAGGGAGTATTACTTATTGATCACTAATTTGAGAAAACATCTTACTACAAAGGGCTGTTTTAGATATTCTCTCTAAATTCATTTCCTAACTATTAGAAATGTTAGATATAATAGTTAAATAATAATTAGTTATAGAACTATTGTGTAATTAGTTCTTATATGTCTCTAAATATACTGTGTAAGATTCTTTGGTTCACTCGAAAATCAACGCCACCTAGTTATAAAAAAATAAGGTTTCATGTACAAGACTAGAAAAAGAATACGTCTGCATGTGAGCAGGCATTTAGAATACAAAAACCCTTCCTCGGCCATATGTCCATAACTACAAACGTGAACTCTTGGTTGAGTTAGTTTTTTGACAAAAAATAATAATAAGGATATTAGAACATAAAGTACTTTGTATATGATTACTCCTCTCTCTGAAAATGTTCTTCACATCTGACTTTTCACGATCTCTAATATTGTATTTTAACTATTAATATCCATATTTATACACATTAATTTTATAAAATTTTTGATATTTGAAAGCTACATTTCAATATGAATATATTTATATTAAATTTAAATCGTAATACAATGTTTTTTTCTATACATCGGAGTCAAATTTTACAAACTTTGACAAAGAAAAGTCAAATAGGAAAAACACTTTCGAATGAAGCGAGAATATATTTTCCATTACATTTTCCAGTATTCGTCTGATTTGACTTTTTTGAGTCAAACTAGACAAACTTTAATTAACAATTACACTCAATTTGTATTGGATATTAATACAAAGGAATACATTTTTGAAAGTTCTAAAAAAGTTAAATATATTAAAATCACTTTCATACTAAAATATACGGAGTATTCAATAAAATTAATTATTAGTAGTATCATAGCCAACAAAATAACACATAACCCAAATTTTAAGACTAAAATGGCAAAATATTAAAATCACTTTCATACTAAAATATATTCAATAAAATTAATTATTATTATCATAGCTAACAGAATAACACATAACCCAATTTTTAAGACTAAAATGGCAAAATATTAAAAGAATTACCTGATAAACTTCTGAAGTCCTGAAGACGTTGGCTGCTGACTCGTTGTGGTATGTTCTGTGCTTCGGGGGCGGCGGTGCGGAGACCGGCGGGCGTTGCCGCTAGTGGCCGACGGCCAAAGGTGCTCGGCGAGAGGCGGTCTTCGGGCGCCACACCGATTGACGAAGACGGAAGAAATAATTTTGCAAAATTGATAATGTGGAAAGTCGAGCAGAACCGCAACAAGGAGTTGAGGAAGATAGGGACTTTCTTTTTGGACCCTAGTCTTTAGTATTGGATTGGGCTTTGATTGAGCAAAGGTTGGGTTGGGCTGGTGGAAGTAATACACCGGAAAATCCGCAGGCCCTTACACAAATAAATCCAAATATGGTCTTAGTTAGCAAAACTACAAAATTGATAATTTTAATAAAATTTGCACCAAGACTAAAACATAAGTCATTTTCTAATGAAGGACTCGAACTTTTTTATTCTCTAAATAATATTTAATAATATCTAGTAGGAGAAATAATGTCTAGTATGGTGGATATTTACTTGAATAATGACTAATGGATAATGACTAATTGTCCTACATTGGTAAAATAAAAATATATGACCCTATATTCAGAAAGTCATTATGTTTTAGTCCTATTTAAATAAATTTATTTTAATTTTAATTTAATTTGATAATAAGTCTGTTAATTTTAAATTATCACACTAAAGTTCAAACTACTTATAAGACTTTTTTGTGCATCATTTTGTACATCAAAGTTTTATACATGCACTTTGATTTGACCAAGTGTAAAATAAAAAATTATTAAAGTGTAGTTGACTTCCAATTTTGTCTTGATGTGACACAAATATTTTAATGGTAGTGTGAACCATCAAAGTCTGATGCAAAACTATGATAAATAAAATGGTGTAAACCAAGTGGTGCATGTGCACCTAGCTATTGGGAGTCACAGTGTAAGTCAGTAAGTGTGTAGGGTTCTATCGGAAAAATCAATTAAATGATACCCCATATAAAGAAAGGTACGTGAAACATTATCCATTAGTTTAAGTTTTTGTCTAGGAAATGGATATGGACTTTATACGAGTAAGTGATCGAATCTCACACGACACTCTATCCAGTTTACTCAGCTCGCCGTGGTGCATTTCTAACTAAGGGGTTGTTTGTTTCAGCCTCTTAATGGTTCAGATGTCTGAATGGTTCAGCACTTAATGGTTCAGACTGTTTGTTTCAGCCTCTTAATGGTTCAGATGTCTGAATGGTTAAGAGATTTGCCTCTGAATGGTTAAGTATTATACAGAGTCTGAATGGTTAAGACCTCTTATCTGAATTGATCAGACATTTGCCTCTGAACAGTTAAGCAATATACTAGCTCTTAATGGTTCAGACCTCTTACTGGTTCAGCACTTAATGGTTCAGACCTCTTACTGGTTCAGCACTTACCCATTCAGAAGTTGCCAAACAGCCCCTAAGATGATTATCGTTTGCGTACGTATAAAATCACATGTGATTGTCGTATGTGGAAGCAACCGTGGTTCATTTATAGCATGATTCATGTTCCATTTTAAAGCATTGAGGTAGGGGTGGGGTAAAAAGAGAGGTACTCCCTCCGTCTCTTAAAACAATTTCTGTTTTGACTTGGAAGAGATTTAATTTCATAGTTTGACCTTCTAATTATACTCTTATTATCGAAGAAAAAAAGAGAGACAAATCATTTAAATGACTTATTTTACCAATGCAAATTGAATGGAGTATATTGTAAAAACTTAATTTAGATATTTTAGCTATTTTTCACAAAAATAGAAATATTTTTGGGAAAACGAAAAAAATAAAAGAGGAAATGTTTTAAGAAACGGATGAAGTATATATTTTTGTTATCTATTTAAGTGGTGCCAATGGCTTATTAAAACCTTTTAAATTTTCTTAATTAATTCAATCCATTTCCTCTTCTATCTATCTTTGTTGGGTTTGCCTTTTCTTTCATTCAACTCAATTCCTTCATTTGTAAGTTCTTGGACGTCTTCTTGACATAAATACCCTTCCTGTGTGCTTATTATTATTAAAGTATCACTCCATCAACTGATCATCTTCAAGAATATTTTTGTTGCTGGAAACTTTAATTTGTTTGGTCTTTTATCTGTGCGCAGTGATCCATATGGGCAATAAAAGTGGGAAGTTGCAGGACGCAGAAGACAATGAAGAAAAAGATGGAGAAGAAGAAGAAGAAGACATGGAAGAGGTCTCCCAAAGCTTCCATTCTCCTCTTCTTCCCCTTCATCGTCATCAGGTACCCATTCTTAAGGAGTATTAAAACTTTATAGTGAGTAATTTCAAAGTTCAAATGAAATTTTAATTGCCTCATATATTAAGTTTTCTAGTTGTATATATGTTTTTGTCCCTAAATAAGAATAACTAATCGAATTTGACATTGTGTTTTGACATTTTATAGTATTGGTTTTATGAAATACTTCGTATTATTTTGAAAAAATTGAAAATAGAAACTTATGAGTCTCAAGTATTATAAGATAAAACGAAAAGTTCACATTGTCATTGATGTACTGTCACACTCACCACATTGTCACATTGCAACTATCACGATACAATTAGTCGTTGTTGGCCACAGGGTCGTCGACGGTTGACTGATCACACTGTCATATATATTTCAGTGTCATCACTTTTTAAATCGTACTACTAACACGTTATCTTACATCATAATGTTATTATACTCACATTTTAGTCTTAAAAGAATTATGACTCATATTTTGATATTTTTATTTTTTTTACTCTTACCTAGAAAGATTTTTTATTGAAAACTCTATTATGAGATTTTTATATGGATTAAGCTATTTGTACTCTATTTTGTTCCCCAAAGACATACACTGACATTTTGTGCTAGTGTGGTTATTTACATTGACAAAAATGTCAGTGCACTTTTTTAACTGAACTGATATTTTGTGTCTGTGTGAACCTTTAAAATATCAGTGTTTTTCTTGGAGTACAAATTAGAATACACTTTTTGGTGTACCCCTAACATGATTGTTTTTATATATATCGGGTTGTTGGTTACGCTCGTTTGTACGAGATCTATTGTTCTTGTGCTAAAGTACTCCAAAAATGCCAAATATCTAAAATGTTTAAGAAATGAACCTTAATTAGTAGCAAGGTTTTCAATTTAATCTATTTTTATTGGTTTTTAAGGTAGTTTGATTTTTTTGACCGCTATTAATTTTGTTATACTAGGAATCCCTCTCTAAGAATAAAGAGTCAATATTTTCTTGCTGAAGTTTGAAATGTAAGCCTCTATTTGAGAGAGCCACTTTGATGCTGTTGGTCAGGCTGTCTATATAATTTGACTTTGTAGTTTGATTTAATTGTGTTACTATGATCAACTTGAGTGTTTTCTAACTCATTATCAAAATTGTCTATACATAGTGTACCATTTTAATTACCTGAAGATCGAGATAAATCGAATGTTAATCAGAATACGTCTAACATTGCTAATACAATCTTAAGAAAGTATAGATGTTGAGACAATTTTCTAAATTATTGGTAGAAACTTAATGTTTCAAATATTATTTTATTTAATTAATATATCATATATATTTTATTTAATTATATATGAAAAAATTAAAAATAATTTATTATAAAAAGTTAAAAATAAATAAATACTCAGATAGGAAACTAGGAGGATGTACTCCGTATTTTTTGAGAGAGTAGCGTTGGTAGTTGAGTTTGACGTATGATTCTTTGGTGCTTTCGGTGTCCTAAGTTCAGTGAGACAAAGAATATGGTTGGGACGTTTTTTCTTTTCATGTCTAATAATTAATGTTTGGGGGCCATCAAAGGCAATATGATGAACGGACGGTTGACATTTTTTCTTACTCCCTCCGTACCATTTTAAATTGCATGTTTGCCTTTTTTCTCCGTCCCAAAATAAGTTGCCTGTTAGTTGTTTTCGTAAACTTTTAAAAATAAAATAGCTAAACTACCCCTAAAATAAGTCACTCTTCTTCACCTTATCTTCTTATTCATCATCACCCTTCTAAAAAGTAACGACAATTTCGAAAAATCAACTCTATTTTTTATTTTCCTTAAATATGCCCAAAAATCAAAACAGGCGATTTAAATTGGGACGGAGGGAGTAATAAAAATATCATAATTAAATTTTGGTTCCCATGAAAAAACATCATTTTCAGTGGAATCTTAGAGCCTGTTTGGGAAGAGCATTAGAGATTAGCTTTAGCGTTTTGGATTAAATTTTAACGGTGCAGATTATTTTGAAAACGCTAACGCTAAACGCTGCTCGTAGATAGCTTTTTCAAAACGCTAACGCTAATCGCTAAAGCTATTCCCAAACAGGCTCTTAGGGTTGCACGGTGACAATCTGCACAAAATAATACGGAGTATTCCTAAAATGATCTTTTTAGATGCTATTTGCATGATCAAATTATTACGGAGTATTATTTTCTTTATTTATTTTCGTAAATTATTTGATAAAATAATATAGTCATGTCATTTCTTATTTTGTAGACCTTTTGATATAGTTTTAAAATATACGAGTATAATTTTTATTTTTTAATTTTACACCTATAATCAAATAAATTAAATCGAAAATACTTTCAGTCAAATTTCGTAAATCGAACTGAGAAGATCATTTTAAACGGAGGGGGTATATAAATAAGTGGGCATATTCTAAACTTGGAACTTGGTGTGTGTTTGTGTGTGTAAAATGAGTAAATTCTATAATTGGTCCTTTATAACAGGGGGTTTCCCTATTTAGTCCTTTATTATAAAATATTACCCAAGTGATCCTTCTTTTATGGGTACCTTTCCACAAATAGTCCTTTTTTTATCTTCTATCATGTTGGTGTTAATTTGAGGGCTAAAAGTGTAATTTCACAATGATAATATATCTTTTTTGTCATACACAATTCCAAAGGCTGTCCCGTTTGCATCGTTTGTGAATTACAGTCGCTTTTTACGACAACTATAGTCTACAAATGTGATCTTTCGTCAGAATCCTAGCCCACAATCATAGTCATTATTTTTGTGTTATCCACTTAACCAATATCAGAACACGTCACTAGACATAATGTTGACGTCAAGTTATACTTTTAGCCTTTAAATTAACACCAACACGGTAGAAGATCAAAAAAAGGACCATTTATGGAAAAGTACCCTTAAAAAAAGGACTACGTGGGTAATATTTGATAATAGAGGACTAAATATGGAAACCCCCCCTGTTATAAAGGACCCATTATAGAATTTACTCGTGTAAAATTAAATGTTGTATAGGCACCGGTTGGTTCAATGCCGCAAAGGCGTGAAGAAATGATGATGGGAAGCACAAGTAGTGATGATTCTAATAAGGAAAAGGGGACAGGAGAGTATGGAGGGATTCCAACAATGATCACATGGAGTTATGGACAGGCTCATCAAGTTGCTATTCAAGGATCATGGGATGACTGGAAAACCAGGTCTAAATTGAGTAATGTTTTTTCTATTCAATTGATAATTAATTAATTACGGAGTACTTTAATAGATTCATACATGGAGTGTAAAAGGTCGAGCAACTCTTATTTGTTAATGTCACACCGCACACGTTAGTTCATAAGTCACAAGTCAACGTATTCTCACCAAAATTTTATGTTTTTTTGTTGAGTTAGTCTTAACTTTTGTTGAGGATCTAAATTTCTACATAGAACACCCAAGTTAACAAAAAAAGGACTAATGTAAAAGAATATGACTTACTCATTGCATTTGAACTGATGTTGGGATAGAATCTCATAATTCCAGGGGATATCTTATATATACTTCTTCCGACCCGAAGAACATTTCTTGTTTTCATTTTTGAGAGGGGAAGCAATAGAAGTTTGAAAAATGTGAAACAATGACAATTAAAGCGTTTAGGGCTCCGAAAATGTCAAAATGGGTAGGACGTACAAAATAGTTGCGATAAGTACAGTTAGATTTAAGAAAAGCAAGAACACTTGTATCCATTTGGCCAAATCAAAATCTTTTATGAAGCATATAAGATATAAAATTTGAAAAAAAAAAGAATTATGAGACAGAGGAAGTATAAACTAAGAGCCAAGACTATGAGCTCAAAGAAGAAGTCCAAGCATTTTATGTTTTAATTGAGTGGGGATGTTGAGGATGTGAAGTCGACCACTATAATCGATCATATGAGTTATTTCTTTCATTGTCAATTGGTTTTGGGAAAAAAAATCACCATTCTACAATTTAGATAAACATATTTTCCTCTTTAGGGACTTGTAATAATGACTAAAACTTATACAGTTGCTAGTTCATTTGAAATCACGTCTGGTAAGCACCTTAAAAAGTTATGGAAAAGGAGTATGTATATGCTCCATCAAACGGCCAACAATTATTTTATGCATCACTTGGTTTAGGTTGTCTTTGTTTAAAAAAATAATGTTTTGTCACATTGGAAATTTACCCACATTTATATTTGTTTGTTGTATGTGATTAGAGAATGTTTGCAAAGAATAGGCGACGAGAAAGAAGGGCTGTTCACTATTGTGAAGGTGCTTCCAGCTGGGGTTTATCATTTCAGGTTTATAGTTGATGGACAATGGAGATGTGCATCCCAATTTCCATGGGAGTTTGATTCCTTGGGAAATATCTTCAATGTTTTGCACGTGAAGGTATGTATGTGTGTGTGTGTATATATATATATATATATCCACCCATCATTATTACTCCATCAAAACGGGGGTTTAATCTAATACCTGCCTGCAATATATATCGTACAACCGGTTGCACATAAATATTGTACGGTGTTTCTCATACATCCGCAGTAAGTATTCATTTACGAGTAACTGAATATTCATTATCAGTCAAAATAAGACTCATTTTCGAGCATTTGAATACTCATTTTTCGAAAAAAATCAATGATGCTTGAAAATGAGCATTTTGTTACACGAAAATGACTATTCAGTTAAGCACTCGAAAATCAATATTCAGTTGGATATATGGAAAATATCGTACATCTGGATGTATGGTATACGTATTCAATCATATCTCTCTCTCTGCCTATTTCATTGCAGGGCATGATTGGGTTTGGAGGTGTCCCGAACACGAAGATGAGTTGGCCGGAGTCGCCACCTTCCCCTCTCTCGACCTACGACTCGGCACCCCTCAATGCAGAAGACTTCACCGCTAAGGTGCCGCCCGAGCTGCCATCTCTCCTTCAACACTCACTATTGGATCAACCACATTCATCATCTTCTTCCTCAAGAAATGGTGGCCATGATGATGATGATGATCTTCATCATCAAGACAATAATAATCTTCTTCTTCTTGAAAAGCCTTCCCCTGCAGTTTTGAACCATCTCTATGTCCAAAGAGGCCCCCATCTTCAATCCCCCCCTACTCTGGCTCTAAACTCAACCCACAGATTTCGCGATAAATATGTGTCAATGGTGCTTTACAAATAATCCTTACACAACTATATGAAGTAAGAGTATACTCCCTCCGTCCCCTTAAGATGTTCTCATTTTGACTTTTGGTGGTTTTTAAGGAGAGTTGAAAAAAGGTGAAATTTTACCATAATACCCTTAATGAAAAATGAGTGGAGTGTATTAAATGAGGTGGGTGAGGTGTAATAAATAAAGTAAGTGGGGGTAGTTGTGGTATTTTAATTGTTAAAAAATGAAATGAGAAGATCTATTGTGGACATATAAAAAGGGCTATTGGGAAGATCTATGGGGGACGGAGGGAGTATATGTTTTTTTTTTTTTTGGCTACATCACACTAGGTTAGTATTATTAGCAAAGTGTAGGAAATTTTTCTATGTATTCTTGAGTCATTTTTTATTTTCTTGGGTGATACATACTACGTATATAGGAGTATATATTTTCTATTCCAATGTATAAAGAATGTTTTGTTATTCACATGGTCAAATTATATCTCTTTTACTTACATATTTTAATCAATTGGGGGTTGGCAACGACTTTGTGTGGTAAGTTTTTTAGAGCTTGTAATCTATTTTTGTTTTAAATTTATAAACAAAATTAATTGTTTAAAAAAGGAAATGATATACTCAACTTTTGCTATTCTCACTTCAAAATACATTCTTCATATGAAAGAGGTAATAATGCACTTTGGAGTGCCAATATCAATTAATGGATTCCAAATACTATTTCCCTTTAAGAATGACTGAAGTGACATAAATATCTTGATAATAAATTTGAAATCTTGTTTTGATATAAAAATATTAAGTGTCATATGTATGGGATATGTTTTTGAGCACATATTTTTGAGAACAAGAAAAAGATGACACTTACTGGAATACAACATACTCCCTCTATCTTCGAAGATTTGTTCATTTTTTATTTTTTTGGTCATACTCCCTCTATCTTCGAAGATTTGTTCATTTTTTATTTTTTTGGTCAAAATTAGTAAAGTTTGATGTCAAATTAAATAAAAATGTTATTAAATATTGATACTGAAATAGTTTTATTAGATTTATTATATATAGTATTTTTAAAATATTATTTTATTTAATTAATATACAATATATATTATTTTGTTATAAGTCAAAGATTAAAAATAGTTGACTGAAAAAAATCAAAAATAGACATATAATCAGGGATGGATGTAATATTTTGTTTTAAAAATTTATATGATCTTAATTGCATGGGTAAAATACTTAAATAGAAGTAACAAATTGTCATAGACTCAAATGTGAAAATATTTCTTAAATTGACCAATGTCAAAATAACAAAAGCAATTTGAATCTTACATTTGTTGTCGCCCCATATCGGTTCCTTGAAGCCTCCTCAACCTCAGTTTACAGCGGAGCACATAATATGTGTGTGCCTCCTTTCTTCTTCAAGATCTCAACTTGTAGGCATATTTCTTCTCTTTCCAACTTCTAACGCCGACTTTTCCATCAAGTCGCAAATTCAAAGTCTTTTCCAAGAAGTCAGAGCTGAAGCAGTATGTTTTGATTTTTCCGCAAGGGATTTTTAGTTTTTTTGCCCAATTACTTGGGTAAAAAAACATGATAGAAGCCCCACTATTCTCTCGGCAGATTTGGGGTTTTCGTCCTCTTCTGGAGTTCAACAGTACAGATTTACCGAGTCTTGGATTTCGCTCTCTGGGTATGTTTCAATTTCCACTTTAAAAAAAATTTGGTGTTTCTCGGTTCGATCTGTTTGCACTGCTGCAAGAATGGGAAGATGTAATTGCGGGGAAATGTTTTGAATTTTAGATAAATTTGGGGATGATTAAAGTGATGTCTTCTTATAGAAAAGGTAGAATTAAAGAAGCTGCTTTGCGTCGGTTGCTGTCTCTGGTTCTGATCACTGTATTAGGGGCATTGTTATTCCTATTAGTGCTACTTAGGACCAAATCATTTGGTGCTTTAGTTACCATTTACAGAAATGATGGTTTCGAAAATTTCGAATTGAAGGAGTTTAGGAGAGAGCCTGTGAAAGAATCAAACTCGAATCTCCATAAACAAAATGAGGGTTTCGAAAATTTGGAATTGAGGGAGTTTAGGAGAGAGCCCATGAAGGAATCAAACTCGAATCTCCCGAAACAAAATGAGGGTTTCGAAAAGTTTGAATTCAGGGAGTTTAGGAGAGAACCCATGAAGAAATCAAAGTCAAATCTCCCGGAACAAAATGAATTGTCCATCTCGTTGGAGTTGAAAAACCAGTTGCCTCCCAAGAACTTGGATTTGTACCCAAAGTTAGCCAAAGATCATATTGTGATTGTTTTGTATGTTCATAACCGGCCCAAGTATCTAAGGGTTGTAGTCGACAGCCTTTCCCGAGTTTCGGGGATTCATGAAACCCTACTGATTGTTAGTCATGATGGGTACTTTGATGAGATGAACAAGATTGTGGAAGAGATCAGATTCTGCCAAGTGAAACAAATATTCTCTCCTTACTCTCCCCATATATTCAATGGCAGATTCCCAGGAATCTCCCCAGGGGATTGCAAGGAAAAAGACGACCCGGTTGAAAAGAACTGTACAGGGAATCCTGATCAGTACGGGAACCACCGGTCACCAAAGATTGTGTCTTTGAAGCATCATTGGTGGTGGATGATGAACACTGTTTGGGATGGACTAAAAGAAACCCGAAATCATGTGGGCCATACCCTCTTCATAGAGGAAGACCATTTCATTTTCCCAAACGCGTATCGGAATCTGCAGCTCCTTGTTGAACTAAAGCCCTGGAAGTGTCCTGAATGCTATGCCGCAAATTTGGCACCTTTGGACGTGAAGTCGAGGGGAGAGCGATGGGAGATTTTGATAGCAGAGAGGATGGGAAACGTGGGGTACGCTTTCAACAGAACCGTTTGGAGGAAAATACACGAAAAGGCGGGAACTTTCTGCACATTCGATGATTACAATTGGGATATAACGATGTGGGCCACGGTCTACCCTTCGTTCGGTCAGCCCGTGTATACATTACGTGGGCCCAAGGCGAGTGCTGTCCATTTCGGGAGATGTGGGTTGCATCAAGGGACAGATAAAGGTGCTTGCATAGATGATGGTTCCGTGAACATTGATCTTCAAGAAGATGATAAGGTTGTGAACATCAAATCGGATTGGGGAGTGCATTTGCACACACACCAAACAGGGTATAAGGCAGGATTCAAAGGTTGGGGAGGATGGGCAGATACACGGGATCACCAACTTTGTCTGCAGTTTGCAAAGATGTATGCTTGAGGTTTGTTCTTTTGAACTTATTATATACATATATTGAACACGAAAAGATGCTACAAGATGTAATACTTTAGGCAAGGTCTCTTGGTACTTTTACAGATGAATCTAGCTATAACATGATAAATCAGAATTGCTTGAGTTTTTTTCCTTTTTTCACTACCCCAGTTATCTTTAGGTTGTGTGCTATTGTATTTACCGTGTCTGTGTTTCTTGGAAACAGTTTCTATACTTTTGAACATGAGTAAAGTCTGAGTACACACACCCTAACGGAGTTCAAAGTTTGATCTTTAACCTCTGGTGTTCGATTTTTTTTTTGTTTCTTCCCCGGCAAAAGAATGAGAATTATGGTCTGGTAGGTGGGAAAGGGCCACCAGAAAGGTTGAGGTAATCATACTATGATGTTTTAGTTACTGAGAATATCAACTTATTACAATATGTGTTGGTTATGGGACTTGACACTTCAACCAACCCAATGAATCTGAAATTTCTTGGGCTGCTTTTGCTGTGGTTGTTTCTTTTGATGTGTGTGGAAGTAGGAGTTGTTTGCAGTGTCACTTTATAAGTGCAAGTTGCAATTCCCGACACGGCTAAGATTCTTTTGACATTGGTGGCCAATGTCATAATATGACATTCGTCCATTTGAGGTCCATATGGTGCCCTATTAGGCCTGAAAGTGGATCATCCCCCCCCCTCAAACCCTAACCCTCTAGACGCCCTTGTAGCCCACCCCATCCTTCCTTTTTTGGGCGACAACAATGGGGTGCAAGGGTGGGTTCAAGAGGAATGTTGGGGGGGGGGGGAAGAACTGACTCCGAGTCCAACGGGGCAATGTATGGGGTATGAATCAAATGTCATATTATGCCATTGAAATCTAATGAGAAAAACATAAAAATAATAATTACATGGAGTTATAATAATTATGTCTGAGCTTTCCTTTGTTAAGCGAAGACATCAAAGCTTGGTGTGGGAGATGAAATCATTTGTAAAGATTTTGAGCGCACAATGGCTGACTTTATAAAATGATGTCCTGATGTGAAACTGGTGTTAGAAATTAGAAAGTGAAAAATGGAAACAAAGTTTAGGAAAAAGAAAAGGTAAGAAACAAAAGAAAGAGATAAATATCATTTAGCGTGAACTTTTGTCATCATGACTTGTTCTTTTCCAGCTATGGTTCTTTTTAAATGGATATAATTTCTATACAAAGTTTGGCTTTTTCTTTTTAAATCAAACTATCTCTTTTATTTTAGAACGGAAGAAGTATATTACTCCGTACGATATTGTCGGAAATTTAGGAGGATTAATTTGGATGCTAATGTGCAGTGTTGGTAATATAGAAAGTACATGGAAATGACGGAGTAGAAATAAGTATTACGTAATTGATTTCACATTAGTGTTATTCCGGTGGTATTTGCAAAATACGTCATTGGATGAGACGTATATTAACTAGATTAAGTATGACAAGTTCAATGTTTGGTTCATACTAGAGAAAATCCGACCACAAGCGACAGTTCGAGTGATCCAACAAAATGTTTTGAAGAGTATTAGAATTTTACTTTGTAGGTAGTATTCAAATACAATTAGCCTTTTCCGACTTCTATTTGATTCTAGTGGCAAAAAATTATTCGATTGTTATATTTAGCAATCAAATATTATCCACGACTGAAAGATTCAGATTTTAAAAAACATTCGAATGCTAGTTATAACATTCGAATTTTATACACATTTTCTTAATGGTTCCTGGCAATTAAGGTGTAGTATTCAAGTGTTATATAATAGTATTCGAATATTTTACACATTTTCACCAAAAGTCACTGAAAGTTACACTATAGCTGGTATTCAATTCGAATACTAGGTTGTGTAAGAAATAATATAATACAGTATTATTATTGAGCAATAACTATTCAAATATTTTTTATTCTCAAAAATCATCTCAACCCTGCTAAGAGAGAGTGTCGCTCCGAAACTTTTTAAGAAATTTATAATACTATCAATTTATCAAATGAGCATGTAATCCACATCTCCAAACTAACCAAATATCAAAATCTATTAAAATTATGGTCTAGTGTTAAGCTAGTAAATCCAATGTGACATGAAGAAGAATAGAGCAACAAACATATAGTGACTTGAATTGCCACTACTTGTTGTAGATGATAAAATCTTGCTTCATTTTCTTTATGAATTCATCAAATTTCTTGTCCCACTCTTCATCGCTCAACCTCTCACTCCTCCCATCTTCTTCTTCTCCTCCCTTATCATGATGGTCGCCGCCGCCCAAGACCACCATTTCCATATCTTCATCTTCTGCATCTTCTTCTTCTTCTTCTTCTTGGTCATCTTCTTTAAGGTGATGGTGTTGATGATCAATATGAGACCCGGAAATTACCCTTTCATCCTGCCCCGCTCTTTCCTCTTCTTCGACTTCTTGAACAAAGCTTCCTTCCTGATGAAGCTGCAGAGGAACACTTCCGGCGGATTTTTCCGGCGACTGACTGCCCGGAAAGTGGCCGGAATTAGTTATGATCAGAACCAGAATGCCGTTGCAGAAGAGGAAGACGTAATTGGGGTTGGAGCTGAAGCGGAAGAGCAGCTGATTGATGAACGAAAATGAAGACGAAAGCTCATCTGCCAGAAACAGAGAATTACAGAACTGAGACAATGCCAAGGAAAGCACTGACACTGAGAAGATCACCTTAAAAGACATCCTCGGAAGATGAAATTCTGTGTTTTTCATTAATTTTGTGTTTTTTTTTTTTTTTTGGGTTTTTGTGATTTGTTGAGAGAGGAAATTAAGCAGTTTATATAGAAGAAGAAGAATTGAAGCTTTTGGTTTGGGAGTGGAATGATAATTGGGGCTTTCTCTGTAAGCTAATATCATGAGATGGGGTTGACCTGTGAATTCTCCGAATTGCCCTTCTGAATAAGCGTCCAATACACGGTTGTAGTGAGCTAAGTAGTAAATGCCTTCTCCGGCCACAAAGGACCCTACTACACTCTCTTAGTATTTTTTTGGAGTTTGTTTTTCGATTCAAATTAGATAAATTTTAAATTTTAATTACTTTCAATTTCTATTATAAAAAATGAAAAATAACATTTTAAAAATTCTATAGATCTAATAAAATTATTTTTATACAAAGTAGGATAATTTAATCGATAGAGTGAATATCAGAGTAGGAAACTATTGCTGATATGTGGTTACATTATTTCTTTAAAAATATATCTACGATGTTGGATCGAGTCAATCGAGTAACGGAGTATTATTCGAGTCTCCTGATAATTTTTATTACCTCCGCCCCACTCTTTTTGTCCAGTTTTGACTTTTGGAACTGTTCATCTAAGCACTTTGACTCATCAAATTCTCTCAATGTGTAAGTCTAAAAATAGTCATGTGTGATCTTGTTTGATTTGTCTTAACATATAGATTATTAATATATAATTTTTATAATTTTTTAATATATAAATTACAAGATAAAATGGGTTAAAGAAGTGCATTGGATGGTGTGCAAAAATGAAAGTGGACAAAAAGAGTGGAACGGAGGGAGTATTTATTTGTATGTTTTTTTGATTAATTGTAAAATAAACTATTTTTGTTATATTTTAATTTATAAATTTTTATATAGTTTTGAAATATGCCTTATTTTTACATAAAGTAACAATTTGTGAATAAAATAATTTAAAAAAAAATGAAACTTTTCATGTTATTCGAATTTCAGACGATTATTTATTTTGGGATGGAAAGAAAAATGTTTTAGAAGTAAGATAATTTAATTGACATTGTGGGTATAGTGCAATGGTAAAATGTGGGTTTTAAATATTTTTTAATAATACGAGTATAAACTATAAAGGATGCCAAGACCGAGTCAATGGGTCAACCGAGTCAAAGTTTTGAAGGGGGGGTCCTTTCCCTCATAGCAACGTGGCAATAGACATTTATAAGTCCTAATGTAAATTATTAGCCCATTTAATTGACCGAGCTTGGCCCGACTCAGATTTGATGGGCTACTTTTTATTCATACCCATCCACTTTAGTGGATCGAACTGTCTATTGAGCCGCCCGGCCCGGGAAAAATGAATTGGGCTAAATTCCAATGGCTTACATCTCTACCATTTAGTCATTTTCTGATTAAATTATTTGGGCTAAGTTCATTAAACATGAGCTAGGTAGTTTGGTGGTCATTGAACACGACAAATAAATCAAATGAATAGGGGGAAAAGTGGAGAATATTGAGACTCTAACTTACTCCAACATAGATAGTACTCCTCTATTGCATATTAAGACTTGTTCTCTCCACCTAATCTGATTGGTTCTGATCCAATTAGAATAAATTCTGATTAAATCTGCTTTGATCTGATCCGAATGCAATTACATTGAAAGTTGTTTTTAATCTGATCCGATCTAATTCAAATAATAATAAATAATACGAATTAAGTAATAAAAATAAGTGAAAGAGAATATACTCTAACTCTCTATTAAGACTTTGTTGGTATATTGAAAATGAATTAATGTAAACATAAAATATGTGTATATTCATTCATATTCAATGCATCAAGAAAGTTACAATAGATAACTTATACTTATACATCAAGAAAGTCTCTCTTGTTTACTATCACGATCCCTTGATAACTCTTACTCCATCCGTCCAGAGTATTTGTCCACTTTCATTTTTACACAACATCCAATGCACTTCTTTAATCCATTTTATATTGTAATTTGCATATTAAAAAATTATAGAAATTATATATTAATAATCTATATGTTAAAACAAATCAAACAAGATCACACATGACTATATTTAGACTTACACATTGAGAGAATTTGATGAGTCAAAGTGCTTAGATAAACAGTTTCAAAAGTCAAAAGTGGACAAAAAGTAGGGGACGGAGGGAGTATTTGTTTGCGTCTTTTCATTGATCATTTGATAAAATAAAATATTCGTGTCACCTCTTATTTTGTAGAGTCTTCGATGTAGTTTTAAAATAAAAATCACGAGATTTTGCACGTTAATCAAAGTAAGAAATTATTTTTGGGACGGAGGAGTATATAAGAGAGAGGGTATTATTCTTCAAAATACCCCTAACTTTTTTGTTTAAAAATCAAGAGAAGTAATTTATTGGATTAACTAGGAATCTCAAAAAATCTTGACCTCACATGGAATATCTCTTCCTACACTTGCTTCATCGCTCATATAGTCATATCCAGAGCGACCAATATACTGTGTATATAAACATTAAAACATATTCGAAAAATCAAGACTGCATTTCTGCAATTTGTAAATACTCCCTATCCAACAAGATTTGCCCTGTTCGAGCCCAGAAAGAGCTTCCCAGGGATCTTCTTCCTCATGAATTTCATAGCTAAGCAGCTCCCATTTAACCTTTTTTGTTCTTCCTCTTTTCCTGCACTTTCACACCGCGCGTCTCATCGCAAAAATTTCTCTCCTTCAACAAGTAGCCTCACCGTTTTGCCGCGTAGAGTTCATACCTTGAATCGGGTCTCTGGAATTTATGGTAAAATCCAACCAAGAAATTATTTTGAAGCAAAGTCCTCCAATGGCTGCTCCCTCAATGAGGTGTCTTGGCAGGACGGTAGGCTTTGTTTCCTTGCTCTTAATTAGTTTTAACTTTGGAGTAATTGAATTCCGGGTCTCGTTTAGTACTTCATTTAGCATTTTTTCATTAGCATTAGAAGAACAATTGCTACTGCAATTGGACATTTGGTTGCGATTAGATGCTTGTTTCTTTGCCAATCTCCATGAAGTTAGTCTGTTTGGATGGTTTTTGGAGGTGAATGATTTGGAGTGCTGAGAGTGTTCGGAAAATCGGGTATTTTTCCCATTAAGACATACTATATACTGCAACAGAAAAGAAATCAGCATAACAATTAACAAGAGTAAATAAAACAAAATAATAAAAGAGAGAAATGGATAGAGGATGATTGAAATGGTATATGCTCCCCTCTGATGTTCTATAAAATCCCAAATATACGTTGTGCATCAGAAGAAATGGATTCTGGGGTACTCCATAATCTTTCCTTCCAAACCCAACCAAACAGACTCTTAATGTCTGATTTCTTCTGTTCTTAACCAGCATGGCACCAATGAATTTCCCTAGGAGTCATGATATTTGTTTGTTTTCTTTTTAAAGAAGGCCGGGCTGCAATGTTGCCAGAAGAAGTTCCATTATTGGAGTTGGCAAAAGAAGAGTCAATGCTCAGCATAACTATTGTAGGAGCCTCTGGGGACCTTGCCAAGAAGAAAATCTTTCCAGCTTTGTTTGCACTCTATTATGAAGATTGTCTACCCAAGGTCGTACAAGTACCTCTATCTTGGTTCACAATGGCTTGCTCTTTACTACATAATGTACTGTATTAGAGGCTCCAGCTACTTATACTGCTTTTACCTTGCCAGAATTTTGTTGTCTTTGGTTATGCTCGGACTAAAATGAACGACGAGGAACTACGTGACATGATCAGTGCAACTTTAAATTGCAGAGTTGATAGTGGGTCTGTTGTCTTTTCACATGCTTATTGGCATTGAACATTCATTACGTTTACGCTTGACTGCTTGAGGAATTGTTTTAATCTGGTCCATTTGATGAGTGTGTGCAGGGAGAATTGTGATGCCAAGATGGAACAGTTTCTGAAAAGATGTTTTTATCACTCTGGTCAATACAGTTCAGAGGATCATTTTGCTGAATTGGACAGAAAACTAAAAGAGAAGGAGGTGATCCTTGTGTTAAAAATCTGCTTAACTCTACAAAGTTTTAGTACGGAATACATTTTTATTTTGCCAACATAACAAGTTTAAGACTAAAACCTTGTTACTCTCACTTCTCCTTTATTCAAATGCCAAACTACAAATAATCCGAATTAAGAACTCAAATCTAAACAGGATGAAAGATCTTCTGTGGGTAAATGAACCAAAAAAAAATAAATTTTTTTTTTATTACGGGGTTATTCCCTGATAAGGGGCTTGATTTTATCCAACATTTTGACCACAAGAAGAGCGTAAATAGGTGACTCCTTTAAACCAAATGAAAAAGAGGATGCTTCAAAAAGCGATCAGTGTCTCTACTAGCTTCAGTGGATTGTAATGACCAATAGAATAATCATCAGTTTCTTCCATCCCATAGATCCCACTATAAGCAAAAAGGAAACATATTCCTCTCTTGGCATCTCTTTCTGCCAAAAGATTGTCAGTTTCTTCTTTCATTCTTACTAACCAGCGCTTCTTTGGTTGGAACATGAATTATTATTGAGTTTATTCAGTTTAAGGAGCTACCTTGGACTATCATTTTCATGTGGAAGTAAATGTAAAAAAAAGTACTCCCTCCATCGCGATTTAGTTGTCCACTTTCTAAAAAAAACCTTATTTTCAATAAATGTGTTTAGAATGTCAAACAAGTGTCTCAAAAGAGTTTGTCAATCATTCATGTCAACAATGTTCATTCCTTATCTCCAAGATATTTTAGACAATTCATCATATTTCCTTTATTGAATATGGTAAGTGGGCAACTAATTTCGGACAAGTGTACAACTTAATCCGGATGGAGGTAGTAATATTTAGTGAGTGTTTCTCCGTGCTTATACACTGGTCAAAACTGCTTATAAGCTGAACGTGTTTCTCTGTGCTTATGAGTTGACTTATAAGCTGCCAAAAAAAATAAGTCTTACCTACTTATTTTTAAGCCTGTTTTTTTGTTTTTCCGTTTTGACCAAATTATTTACAAAACTATCCCTCATATATTATGAATATCCCCAAATGACTTATATATCATTTAAGTCATTTTATCTACACGAAAGAATATTTAACTTATAAGCAGCTTATAAGTTAGAAACTGTTTATCAGCAATAAGTCAATAAGCACCAACATAGAGAAACACCCTCTTAGAAACCTTTCTTGATGAAGCAGAAGCCAAGTGTCTTTCTTAAACAACCTTCCAAGCTTTACAGGTAGGGTTATCTACCTACACCCGCCCTTCCAAGACCTTACATGGTTGTTGTTGTTGGTGTTGTCTTGGTTAAACATCTTCAAATTTATTTCAATTTGATTTTCTGTATGTCGGTCTAGGAGGTGGCTACAATGTTACATATGAACACATCTTTAAAATGTGATGTAGTCTATTCCCCTTTTTTATCTGATTGCTCTTCTTAATTTGTGCATTATATAGATGTCCTAACGGTACAATTTTTTTATAGGGCGGTAGAGTCTCTAACAGATTGTTTTATTTGTCAATACCTCCAAATATATTTATGGATGTGGTGAAATACGCAAGTGGTAAAGCATCTTCTACAAGTGGTTGGACAAGGGTCATTGTTGAAAAGCCATTCGGACGTGATTTAGAATCATCTAGACAGCTGACAAAATGTCTAATGGAGTACTTAACAGAGGAACAAATATTCAGGCAAGTCCTTTTGTATTATTTTGGCCAGTTTAGTGATCATGGTAATGTTTGACGTTATCTTTTTTTTCTTTTTTGGTTAATTAAGAATTGACCATTACTTGGGAAAGGAGCTTGTAGAGAACCTTTCAGTTCTTCGGTTCTCAAATCTTGTTTTCGAGCCTCTCTGGTGCAGAAATTACATTCGCAGTGTGCAGTTTATATTTTCAGAGGATTTTGGTACTGAGGGACGAGGAGGGTGAGGCTCGACTCTCTTCTAATGCTTACTTGAATAGAATTGTTTGGTTTTGATTTGTTGAATTTCCAATCCAATAATTTTGCCCTTTTTACAGATACTTTAACAATTACGGGATCATCCGAGACATTATGCAAAATCATTTGCTTCAAATATTAGCATTGTTTGCAATGGAACCTCCCGTCAGCTTGGATGCTGAAGATGTCCGAAATGAAAAGGTTCTTTAAACATTTACCAATCATAGAAGGCTTGCTTTGGGGAGAAAGTAGTTTTAAATAACTTCGCTAAGGGTCCATTTGCAACTCGGAAACTAGGAGAAAAAATATGATGGCAAACCAAGCGTAAGTTTGAAGGGAAGAAAATTTGGGGGGGAAATAAAGTATAAGCTCAATCTCAAAATATTTATTTTGGAAATTTTTCAAAACTCATTATATTTATCTATTTCTTGTATATAAAGACTAATAAATATAAATATATGAAGAAAAAATTAAGAAAATAATACTCCCTCCTTCCCAAAAAGAATATAATGTTCACTATTCGCGTGGTCAAACTTTGACCACTTTCTTTTCCCATTTTCGTTACTCATTTGATAAAATAATATAGTTTTCTCATTTCTTGTTTTGTAGAACTTTTGATGTAGTTTTTAATTATATAAATTTACTATTTTTAAATTTTACATTACACCAACTTACATATTAATTGAATTAAAAATAATTCCATTCGACCATCGTAACTCGCAACAACAAAAAACTTTTAGGTATGGAGGGAGTAATCATATTTGATTCTCCTTTGCATTTTCGAAGGTAAACCTAAATGCACGCACTAAAAAAACTAACTTCCCTTGGCATTCACTGGGATCCAAACACACCCTAAATGATTCAGGTGAAAGTTTTGAGGTCAATGAGGCCTTTGCAGCTTGAAGATGTGGTCATAGGGCAGTATAAAGGACAAAGCAACGGTGTGAAGTCGTATCCAGGGTACACAGACGATCCAACTGTGCCCAAAGACAGTATTACCCCAACCTTTGCTGCTCTAGCTCTATTCATTAACAATGCTCGCTGGGATGGGGTTCCGTTCCTTATGAAAGCTGGAAAAGCACTGCACACTAAACGGTATTTTGGATTTTTTTATTTTACTCTCTTCATTTTTCCTTAAATCTGATGTTAAACAAAATCATCACCCGCATTCTTTTTTGTTCACATGGAAATGCAGAGCAGAGATCAGGGTTCAGTTCAGACATGTTCCTGGCAACTTGTACAAGAAGAACTTTGGAACTGATTTGGACAAAGCAACAAATGAGTTAGTGCTTCGCTTGCAACCAGATGAAGCAATATACTTGAAAATCAACAACAAGATTCCTGGACTCGGAATGAGACTGGACCGCAGTGACCTTAATCTGCTTTACAAAGCAAAGTAACATCAAATTTTGTGCTGTTTTTTCTGCATTGGAACGAAAACTTATGGGCAGTAAAGTCCATCTGATCTTCCCCTTGGTTTTTGTGTGTGAAGGTATCGAAGCGAAATACCGGATGCATATGAGAGACTGCTGCTGGATGCAATAGAAGGAGAGAGGAGGTTGTTCATCAGAAGTGATGAGCTGGATGCTGCGTGGGCATTGTTTACGCCTCTGTTGAGAGAAATGGAAGAGAAGAAGGTCGGACCTGAGCTGTATCCATATGGCAGCAGGGGCCCCGTTGGGGCCCACTATCTCGCTGCAAAGCATAACGTTCGCTGGGGAGATCTCTCAGGTGATTAAGAATGACTATGATAATCATATGTATCCATACCATGAAATGGAAGCTTTATAGATCCCCCCCCCACCTGCACAATAAATGATTGTATATAGGTTGTACTGTTGGTGGGTAAGAATCAATAAGTTGTACATGGTTCCGAAGGTCACATTGTAATGAAATGTTTAACAAATGGGTAAAATTTCCCGTTTATAGTGTTCTTCGTAACATCTTCTCCTTTATAAGCTCTCATATGCTTGGCTCCATTTGGTCGCTGCATACATTTGATTGAGTTGGTTGATCTGCTTGAACACCATTAGCATGAAAGAATCACTGGTTCTGAATTTGGAGAAAAATGTGTTCTTTTTTTGCATGAACAAGGTGATAAGCTTCATGAAAAAATTCCATTCATTTAAGCTGTTTGTAGTTGCTGTTAGAATAGACGATGAGAATGTTTGGATTTTGTGCTTTAATAGTTATTGTATTGTGAAGTACTCCGTACTTGTAGTTGTAGTACTTTTTTAAGTACGAAAATATTCGACGTTTTAAAAGGAGAGTCATGTAGGTATGCTATAAGAAAACCAACACCTCCAAAAAAAAGTTGGCTATGAAGGAAGCCAACCACAAACAAGCATTGAAACACGACGCCGAACATGCCAAAAACGAAAAATTAAAAACTAAAACCAGATAGAATGAGTACTAGATGGACCTCATTGTAACATAACCATCAGTCATATGGGCATTGCCTCATTCAAGTTCTCTCTCACATCCTACTTTCCTTTCTAGGACTACTTTCCTACTAAAGTGAAAAATAAATCAATAACAAAGTTTACATGCCTCCAATTTGTTTTTATCTTGTTCATAAGCACTTTTGCTAAAAGGCAAAATTACATTAGTGGAAACTCACATAGTCACTTTAGAATTATGGGTTTAGGTGTTAAATGGCTGCATATTTACAACAATCTTCTTCTTCCTTCACAGCCAAACACGTCTGAAGCGACTCCCCCACCGCCCACCAAGCCTTCTTTGTATCGGCATACAGACTTCCTCTCACGAGTCCCTTCTCATGAAAACGTCCCGAATGATCAAACTGATCCCATCAAACTTGAGCCAAACCTTTCTTGATGAGCATATCATACATTCTATCCACTTTGGTTGGGTCGACATTAAAGAGACGATGCGCGTCGCTTTTCTTTGTGATGCTGCCGCTCAAAATGCCCGTGGAAAGGGTTTCCATGATGCTTAGATAATGTGTAGGCAAAAGCCTGATCTCACTACACAGCTGTTTCTCCTGCAAGTTAAGTTGAAACAGAATCAGAACCTCTAAAGTGAAGTACAACAAGAATAAAGAACGGATTCAACCCTTGTGGGTCGGGACCGTTAAGGGTAGAAAAGCCTAGAGGTGTTCAAATCTCTATCCAAGATGAAGTAAATATATCAAGGAACCAACTCAATCAAAAACTCTAACTTATGGTTTGAGGCCCAAGAAAACTTTATAATACTCTAACACGTTACACATCTCCTCACATGTAGGCACTCTTTGTTTGCTGGGAGATTGCACGTGGACATTAACTTTTTTGAAAGTGGGTAGCTGTGAGATTTGATCTCGTGACCTCTAGGTAAGCAAGGCTTAAACCAAAAGCTCAAGGTTATGGAAGGAGACTGAGGAGAGGTTTTACACTCCCTAACAAGATATAGTGAAAATATGGCAGTGAAAACTGAAAATCTTCGCTTACATGTTCAGAGAGTAGATCTGCTCCAATAAATCCACTGACATCCCAAATATCTACAGCATTTCCAACAAGATGCTCTAATGGGGTTGATAAGAAGTCTTTCCCACTAGAATCTAATACAACAGGCCCTCTCACGCCACCTCGGGGGCTGCTCACATGTTCTTCTTTGAGATTATTAGCTCTTTGCACATATTTTCCATTTGGGACAATCTGCAAATTCTCCTTCCCTCTACGGCTATTTTCCTCTATTTCCCTTTTTCTCTTCTGCTCAATATACCTTTCAGCCTCTGCAGAAGTTCGGCACCCAGCAGCTCGCGCTGCCTGAGAAAAAGATACATAGTTTGATTTATCTTCAGCAAGCTTATTTGCATAAATATGCACATTACATCATCCGTGCAATGTTTTAATGAGTGCTAAGCCATTTCAGGAAACAATTTTTTTATTCAGAGTTAACACTACTTGAGTAAAAAAAAGTTAAACCAGTTAATGCACACAAAACAGTAACTACAAAGTAAATCTGATGAGCAAGATAGAATAGAAGGATTTTTCTGTGATGCCCTTGGGGCAGACGCATTCCGAAGAGAGCTGGTTCCTCTAACTATTTTACAAGGACATAGCCACTGCAAAGTTCACATTAATAACCGAAACTATTTGAAGCTTCAAAGTGAGACTTATTTAGAAATAAAAAAGAATGGATTGAGTTATGCTGATGTATACATTACAAGATCATCCTACCTGAAGATCTTGTATTCTTCTCAAGATACGATGCTCCTCAATAACACTTTTAAGCAACACATCATGTTCTTCTTTTGTATGAAATCTCATAAACACCCTGTAGGCACGGCATATGGCTTTCTCCTCTGGGGTTAGGTCCTTTTCAAAAGGATCGGGATAAAGTAAATTCCTATCCAAGATAAAGTCCTTCCTGCGTTTCCTTTCATCAAGCCTACAAATTAAAAATAAAGTAAAAAAGATGAACTGAGTACATAATAAAAAGGAAGCAAATAACAAAATAAATATGATAACGGAACATAAGGTGCCTAAAACATGTTTTGAGAGAACTTTCATTTCATTGAAAGCTGACCATTTTGAGTTCAAACCAAGTACCAACTAACCTATACATGACCCATAAAGCCAAATCAGATCATATCCAGAGACCCAGATTCTCCAGTGTCAGTGGATGAACTAAAGATTATAAAATTTCTCATTTCTAATGTGAAAACATATCACCCTAAAAGAAATGTGGAAACATATCATTCTACAAACATATATATATATATATATATATATATATATATCATAATGGTCAGCTTGTGACCCGTGGGCAATTTATCTGACTGGTATAACATCCTGCTCCCTCCAGTAGGATAGTCCTAAATATAAGCCATCTTATATCTTTGCTATATATTCAATTATTTTTCCAACAGGTTCCCCTATTAAATGTAAAGTCCTCATTTGGTATTAAGGTTGTTGCAGATAACAAGTGCAATTAAACCATGGCATATAAAGATAATTGAAATTTTTAAAATGATCTTCATAACTCCCTCTGTTCCAAAATGAAATTTAAGGTTTGACTTCACGTGAAAAACATGTTGAAAAGTAAAAAGTGCATAGTTAGAATTTTTTATAAGAGAAGTGTTGTGAGCCACATAATTCTTTTCTTAATATGAAAGTAAGGAAGTGTAAATTTTATTTTGCAACATCCCAAAAAGAAATGTGTTAATTTCATTTTGGGAGAGAGGGAGTATTAACTTTGTACTGAAAACTTTCATACATTTGTCTTTCAGTTCACTGCAGTGGGTTTCCACTGGTGTGTGTGTGTGTGTAGGCCTGAAGGTGCCAATAAGCTCTATTGCTGCATACTAAAAGAAGACTAAAGTTTATCAGCATTTGACCAAAAAAATTATTAAAAACCAGAGTCCAGCAGAATTTATAGTCGTTGCCCGATTTAATCAACTAAAAGTCATTTCTACAATGTTTTAGCTTTGGGTAAATAATGGACTAAATCAAAATGAAAAATAAGAATTCACTTGGTTTTCACTTTCTATGGGCAGTAAATGCATCAATGAGGAGTAACGTTGCGTACATCTTGACCTCCCCCCTGAGGCCCACAACCCAACGGCGTTGGGCTTATACTGGATTTGTTGTATTTGTAGCCCAATTTGGTTGTAGGAAACATAGCCTTGAGACTACGTCACTCAGATAACAAGTCAAGAAATGCATCAAGATAGAGAAACAGTCAAAATGTTCTGAAAATGTAATATGCATAGTAGGAAAGAAAGATATGTTCTGAAAAATGTACTTAACACAATCATCTTTCATTCAGAGCATGAGAGCCTACGCATGCAAATCTTGATCCTCGATATATTACCAAAAAAAGGTTACAAAAGGATAATTGGTGATGCTTTCTTAGACAAACAAAAGGATGATAATGGATAATTACTCACAGGTAGTTGATAGAGGTTTACCTCTTCAAGAATATATGCAGCACCCGAAGTTTCAGTTTACGTTCAGCATCGGTATCGGAATCCTTAAATTCCATATCTGCCAGCAACTGCTCAGCATCATTATCATATTCAATTTCAAACTCCTGTCTCTTGAAATTATAACCACTTATTTCTGTCACAGTGGGCACTTCGTCTCCTGCAATCCTAGGCTTCTTTTCTCCACGACTCCTATATGCATGAGAATCTGGTAGTAAGACTAAAGAGATTTAATACACATTTGAAATTTCCTCAATAGAAATAAGTCTGCAAGACCAGCAAACCAGCAACTAGACAATAAGGGTTGAGCCTCTTTTGTTTCCATCATTAACATGCATGAATACACAAATAAAAGAACGATGATAACAGCAACCCAATGAAATCCCACAAGTGCGGTATGTGCAGCATTCTAAAAAGCATTCGGTGTTTCCTAGGCGGTAGACTAGAGCCTAGCGCCTACCACCTAGGCTTGCTTAGGCATGGATTAATTGAGGTCTGGGTGGCTAAGGGAGATAAATTGTAGATGGCTAAAGGAGGCATAGCGCCTAGGAGGAGGTAGGCAGGGAGTTTTGGAACACGGGGTCTGGAGTGAATGCAAGCAGACTTTAGCCCAACAAAAACTGGTAGAGGTTGTTTATAACAAATGACTATTAAAAAGTAGTGCTAGTGTGCTAATAAAACTCACTAAACAAACTGTATATCTATTGCAGAAAATTAAAATCAACTATATATCAAATTTCAGATGTTAAGCCACTACAGGAGTTCATACCTTCTAGTTTAATGCCATCACAACTATCATTAATATGGGCCACACTGGATACCGTCTTACCAGCTCCACTCCGTGCATCACAAGGGACCATATCTCCTACCGAAACAAATAAATGTCAACACAAGACAACATGCAAAAGACATGGATTGTTTTAGCCAATACCACTTCAGTGGGCATTACAGTACAACAATTATTACTTTTTTGTTTTAGTTAAGTTGTTACTGGGTATTCTTAGATAGACATGTTATCTAGAGTCTTGGCCACAAAAGAGTTCATAACTATCTTATTAGGTTATTTATTTGTTTAAAAGTGTTTTGACATGACTTGAACTCTATGGGGGCTCACCTGCTTTCAACAGTTAATTCGCTATATCAGAAAGGACGTGGGACAAGTATACATCAAGAGAAAAACATTTTCTGCAGCAAAACAGACTGGTTTGTTTAGCATATCTCTCTATTGTAGTCTGTTTTCGGAGGATCAAGATGTGCTGGCAAGATATTTTATAGACCTACAACTTTGGAGAAGGAACTGACGTAAATTCCATTGTTAAGGCAGTCAAAACCGAAGCTGAAGTCTACTGAAAATCTGTTCTATGTTGTGTTCGTGAGGGCCTTTATCATGTGCTAGCATGAATAACTTGGATAGAATAACTTGGACATTCACACTAGAAGCTCTATATTTGGGAGGTTAGGTGCTAGGTATGGACTTACTAGGGTTGTATAAAGCTTGTGCCCAGATGCACTCAATTTGCAAGGTGGTATGGAATATTTCTGTGTGCCACCATGGACGCATGACATCATGTTGATATCTGAACCATATAAATCCTGTTTGTTTATCTTTTCTGCATTTTTTCCATTGTGATGTTTCTGTAATAGTTTTTGGCCCGTACTTGTTAATGTTGTCTACTCAACACCACGTAAAATAGCCCCTGACCTTTAAATTAATCACAACGTGAAACTCCAATGTTTTAACACCTGACATTAAAAGGTGTACTCCAATTGAGCTAAAAGAGTCATTATTGGTGATGTTTAAAATTTGGGTAAATAATGGACTAAGGCCGGTTCTCTTCTGCTTATTTTTTCTACTAGTTACTTATTCTTATTGGAATCCCATCAAATCAGATTAGCAACAACTTTAAATTACACTAAAATTACATCAAATCAGACCAGGCCAGACCTTAAAAATTCAGATTAGAACCAATCAAAATGGCGCATTAAACTTTGGTAGCTCCTTACTTTCAATGGAAGGAGGGAGTACTATTGTCCACTTGACGTAATACTTACTTTTTGTTAAGAACTTGTTTAGGAGTGTGGAACTATGTCGACAATGTGCACAAATCTATCTTTTGGCCATTTTGGGATTGTTTGTACTTTGAAGTACAGAGTAATAACTTGGTTCTTACTTATTACTCCCTCTGTGCCTAAATTAAAGTCACATTTCCCAATTCAGCGTCCCATAATTAAAGTCACACTTCTCAAATTCCCTTTTAAGAAAGAATATGACTCACAATATTTCTCTCTTCTGAACAAATTCTAACCAACCACTTTTTACTTTTCAATGGGTTTCTCAAAATCAGTGAAGTCAAATAGCGAGTTTAATTTAGGAACAGATGAAGTGTTTCTTTTCGAATACAGCTTGTATTTCAAAGCATTTCAATTCCTTTTCCAATGTTTCACCCATTGGATGAAGGCTACATATATTACACTCCTTCCGTCCCATAAAATACTTTACACTCTTTTTTTTGATGTCCCAAAAAATACACTTTATTTCCTTCTAAGGTGATGAATATGTAGCTCAAAATAATTCTCTCATCTAAACAAATTATAACCATACACTTTATATATTTCAACAACTTTCTTAAACTCCGTGAAAGTCAAAATGTGACGGAGGGAGTATATATTTAACTACTTATGAAAAAATGTTCAAATGTCAACTAGTTTCAAAAATATCTGTTGCCATAGGATGTCTAAAATATATTGGGTTGACCTGAGCGTTCTGAGTTATGAACATACAGTCTTTGATCCAAACCAGAAATTTAGGCAACCCGAAACTACCCAAACCCCAAAGTACAAAACATGAACCCAACAAGACCAGCATACAGCTCTAGCGGTGTACATGACAAAGCTAAAAAAACATATACTGTAGAGGCAATCAATCACTAAATAATTCTTTGACTTGACATATACTCCTTCCGTTTTGCAAAGAAGTTTACACTTTGACTTCACAAAGCTAAAAAAACATATTGAATAGTGAAAAGTCGGTGGTCAAAATTTGTTAAGAGGAGATAAATATCCCGAGCCATACATTCCTTTCTTAAAAGGGAAAGGAGAGAAGTCTAAACTTTATTTTGGGACGAGCGAAAAAGGAAAGTGTAAACTTTATTGCGGGATAGAGTGTGTATAATTACATACATAAATTGTGAATGCACAATCAACTATGACATAACCTACCAAGTGCCAAGGTAGATAGATCCTAGCAAGTGCACCATAATGGCTGTGTAGTGTCTACTGTCAATCACTACTGGCCTGGCTGCAACAATACTCATGTTCATGTTTTCCCTTTTCATTAGCTGAGGAGACACACAAGGCTTTCAAAAGTTAAAATAATAGTCATACCAGAAGCTAGGCAAGACGAAGCACATCCTATTGAAGCCTCTGTTCGTTGATCTTCCATCCTAAACACAATTTCAAGAGGATAGGATAAATATAACCATTTGCCTTTAAAGTAAAGGTAGTAAAGAATCCAAACATACATGACTCTGCCCGAGGATGGAGTTTCTTCTTTGATGGTAACACTCCCAACATCAGTATAACCTGGAAAGATTCAGAGCAAAGTGACTCTTAATTCTTAAGAACTAAGGATGACACGTACTTCTCAACACAAGGTCATCAACACATAAAATATTAGAAATAATGGCTGAGACTAGTTGGTCATTTTCTTGTTTGTTGGGTTTAAAATATTTTTTTCGGGAGGGGGGATGGGGAGAAAAAGGAAGGTGGCTTCTAGAAATTAGAAGTGAAACTGGAAAAGGGAAGTTGTCACCATCAAGAACTGTTCTGTGATATGAAAGAAAAGCCAAGGATACTCTTGAATAAGAGTAACTTAATCATTCATACTCGTCGCTCAAACATTAATTTGAAAAACAAAAACTAAAATACTAAACTAGACTCAAATGTAGCTAGAATAAAAGCAAGCATACCTTTTTTTAGTTCATCCTGCTCTTTCGCCATGGCTAGGAGTTCTTCTCTATTCTTTCCCCTAACGTGGGACATATCCTGGAGAAATAACACAATATGCAGGGTGAAACTTCACTTAGGATTGAAGCATTTAGATACTCTACTAGTTGAAATACCAAAAGGGCAACATACCGGAAGAGGGAAACACCGAGAGTTCATATATGTTGCATTATAATGGTCAACACACTGCTCTTTACTTTTTGTTCCAACATGTTCTGCAACATCATTCCAACTTCCTAATCCATGCATTTCTATACCCTACATAGGGCATAGGCAAGGGTGATTAGGAGATAGACTCATAGACATGTTAAGGTCCAGGTAAAATGGAAAGCACATTCTTCATCCTCCAGAGATAATTTTGTATAAATTCAGAAGATAAAAAACATTAACAGAGTTCTAGTAGATTCCAACTTCCAAGCATCTTCTAGGAAATAAAGTTGAGAACTCTCTAAATTTAATTTTAGGGACTACCTCTAGAAGTAGTATCTCCTCATCAGCACTCCAATCGGGAGAGATGAGTGGAAATGACAAGTTATCCTGTCAAAAGGAGCAACCGCTTCATAAAAATAGGACTTTTAGAAAAGAGTGAAATGAAAAATGAGAGGATAATGAGCCAATAAGAAAAAGATATGGGAATAAATGATCATTTAGGTGGGAAAAGAATGTAAAAAAGGATGTGTAAATGAGTTCATCAACATTACTAACCATAACCCTGTAAGGATGATTGCTTTTGTGAGGATGTATTTCTGCTCCAACGGAAAAGCATTCGATGCAAAGGTCAAAATCAGAGCATACCGCACATTTAATACGGATCTTCCCTGATATGTCTTTGTTGCAATAATTACAGTGGTATAAAGCCTTTTTTCCATCATTCAACCCTTGACCTTTTACATGGAATGAAAATAATGAATGAGCCGCTTTTGGGGTGGGAGGGTGGGGGTTACTTTAACTGAAAATTGCCCACTAAGATAATAAACATAGCACTAGAAGGCACATAAATATTTCTGTAAAACTGCAATGTGGACAATAGTACTCCTTTCCTGTTGAGCTTCTGCTATGGTCAAAGTTAAAGGCACGAATACGTCACATCGAAGGATAGTTTGTACTCAACTAGAAACCCAAGCATTGCATCTTATTACAACTGTAACCCCAAATGAAGTTTGGCTGGTAATTAGTAGTTACATGATAGGGAGATCTTACCCGCTGTTCCAGTTTCTGAATTCTCCACGCTTTGGGCAGCACGTTTCCTCTTTGAGCGACTGAAGATTACAAGGGGAAGAGAAGATTACATATTTCATGTTAGAGTGAACTCATTACAACTTCACCCAGCACACTTTATTGCCTACTTTTTCCCATTTGTGTTTGTGATCAGCCCAGTACAACAGCTATGAATGCTAACTGCTAAGGATTTGTGCCCTCATGGAAACTAAACTATTAATCCACATTCTCATTCAAAGAGAGATTTCCAAACAAAGGTTCATTATTACTGATGCAGATGAAATTTTAAGCAAATCGAGTCGAAAATCATTCCAAGAGAGTTTATTGCAAGAAAGGTGAAAGATCACATCTTTAAACACTAATAGGGAATCTTTTGCCTAGTTGTTGATTCCTAATACGGGATTCTGCATCACTTTCAATTATTTTACTTTAATATTTTTGTGTTGACCTGCATTTTTCCTCTAAAAATAAAATCTATATTCTGTCCCTCTAAAATATCTTGACTCATCCACTGAACTTTCATGCTAGGAATCATCTAAAGATCAATAAAAACTATGGATTACTACTTAATAAACGGAACAATCATGAAAAGGATTGGATTTGTAAATTCGGAAAACGGACCTCTGGCTGGGATCATCGTCGGCGGGGTGAGGTACAGCTCGAGAACGACCCATCGGAGCTCAATTGTAACTCCGCTTGAGAAATCCGGAGATTGGAAGTTTTTTGCTGGCCGGAGAAGGTGAGAAGCCCTGGTAGTCCGGGCTAGTTTTCAGGCCCGATGATCCGGTATCCGATGATCATTCGGGCGGGTTTGTCCGAAAGAAAGAGATTTTTGTTCTTACTACCCCTTACTTTCGAGTAAATTGGTATTGCTCTCGTTATCTTAGATTATTTACATTTATTACCCATTTGCTTCATGAATCATGGCTATGTTACAATTACTGGATAAAAATTCAAATAATTATGAACAATATATGGATGTTGGATGAATCAGAATGGATCGATGCAAAGTGAAATTTTTTCTTACCTGTTGCCAAATATATCTATCACACAATTCATCCATGTACTTGTAAAGAAAAATTGATATTATGTTTTAAAAATCTGCTTCAAATTTTTAAAAAAACTAATTTGATGCTTATAGTTTTACTTGAATTCCAATTTTTTTATACATAGAAATGGATGGTTTTATACATTATATATATTATATAATAATATATGAAATCTTCTTTTAATAATGGACATGTATATATGTCGTAATATCTTTAACAATGTAAATACAGAAGAAGAAAAATGCAACTAGAAAACCATGGATAGATCAATCAATTAATATTTAACTATTATTTTTATTCATAAAAGAATTGAGTTTTTACATATTTTTATTAATTACAAAACGGTGAAGAGTAAAGAAATAAATGTTTGAGATCAAGAATTTGAAAAAAATTAAAGATTGCATGTCTAGGTTAGCATTTGAGAATTATGAGAATGTATATTTGAACTTCTATATTTCTAATTGTGTTTATGATTTTATGAGAATTTAATATAAAATAGATGTTTTAATATCATTACACTTTTTTTAATATCGTTACACTTTTTTTCTTTATAATAGTCTAATGAAATCTTATTATTAATTGAAAAAAATATTACTCCCTCCTTCCCATTGTCTTTGTCCATTTACCTTTTGGCACACTATTCAATGCGCTTCTTTAATCCATTTTAT